GTCTGGAAGGTACATGGCCTGTATCGTGATATCGTATCTGATACACCAGTTCCAGAGTTGGATGGCCTCCACACACAGAGGGGGCAACCTGGCACTGCCTTGCTTGTTGATATATAAAATTGCCACCATGTTGTCGGATAGCAGTTAAATGTGACGTGATCATATGAGGGGAAGGCCCTGGGCCATGTGAGCATCCAGGTGGGTGCCCCAACCCCTTATGGGGAGGTATCCATAGTTAGAGTGGTGCAGGAGGTGGGAAGTGTAACAGGGTGCCTATCAGTACCGTGGACAGGTCAGTCTACCAGGTGAGGGAGGCCAGGACGAAACGGGAGAGGGACAGACTTGCAAGCGGTCTGTCTCCGGTTTGTAGATTGCTTTGATCCATAGTTGAAGGCAGCGCATATAGAGGTGGGCATGGGGCATTACAGATGTGCAGGCTGCCATGTGGCCAAGGAAGGAAAGGCATTCGCAGATGCAGGTGTGTGGTTTGTGGCGTAAAGCGATGAGAGAAGTAAAGATGGTAAACCGATCTGCCAGGAGGAAAGCCTGACCCACGAGAGTGTCCAGGCATGCCCCAATAAATGTGATCTGTTGGGTAGGAACAAGGATGGACGTCTCCTCATTGATACAAATGCCCAGATTGGTGAGGATATCGCAAAGAGTCTGGATAGCTCAGAGGAGGTGGTTGCGTGAAGTTGCCAGTAGGAGCCAGTCGTCTAGGTAGGGAAACATGGAGTGGCAGAGGCATAGCATGTGGGCTGTGACAATGGTGAAGACTTTTGTGAATACATGTGGATTGGGGACGATACCAAAGGGGAGGACATGGAACTGATAGTGGGAGTGACCAACCATAAAGCGGAAAAACTTCCAATGAGCCAGGTGAATATCAATGTGGAAATATGCGTCTTTCACATTGAGAGCCATGAACCAGGCTCCGTGGGAGACAGAAGGGATAATGAGGGGAAGCATGACCATCCGGAACTTGAATTTTCATACAAACCTGTTGAGTATGGGGTGGCAGCCGCCTCCCTTCTTCAGAATAAGGAAATATGGGGAGTAAAAGCCGCAGCCCTGGAATGGAGGGGGATGGTAATGGTAATGGCACCTTTCTGGAGAAGGGCATCTGCTTCCTCTCGGAGAAGATCTCCACAGCCAGTGTGGGGCAGGCAATGGGCGGAGGGGGAATGTGAAGAATTCTATAGAGTACCCCATGTGAATGATGTCCAGTACACAGTGGTCTGTGGTGATCTTGCCCCAATTGTGGGCAAAGAGGGCAAGATGGAGGGGTAGGGATACGTTTACGAGTCTTGGTGAGAGTGTCAAAATTGTTGCTTAGACTGACATAGCAGGAGGGTTGAGGGTGCGGAGGTTGTAGTAGCAGAGTAATGGGGCTACTGAGCATGCTGATGATGTCATGATGGCTCTTGTTGTCTATGGAAGTAGAGTGGGAAGAGGCTGGGGTGTAAATGCCAAGCGACCGCAGAGTGGCGCGAGAGTCTTTGAGTGAATGCAGGGACTCGTCCGTCCTGTCACTAAAAAGTTTCTGGTTATCGAAGGGGAGGTCCTCAAGAGAGGTCTGGACGATTGGAGCAAGGAGTCACGTCGGGGTACGACTCCGGTCGCCAGTGAGCGTGAGGTGGTGTCAGTGGCATCAACCACTGCCTGGAGGCTCACCTTAGTAACCAGTTTGCCCTCATCAAGTAGTGTCTGGAACTAATGTTGTTTGGCAGAAGAAAACCCTGAAACTCCGAAAGTTTGCAGTACATGAGAAAGTTGTACTTTGCCAACATGGCCTTGTAATTGGTGATGCAGAATTGGTCCTGCTTCTTTGCCACTCTGTCCGGGGTGGGGGTGTTTGTGAGGGTGGACTTCAGGTGTTGTTGGCAAGTGCATTCCATCGCCACGTGAACCACCAGTGAGTTGGGAATGGGGGGGTGAAAAGGAAGTCTGTTCCTTTCAATGGGATGAAGTATCGCCACTCTGCTGCTTAGGAGTAGGGTGTATGCCAGACCAACTGTGCTGGTTGCAGCATGGACCCATGGATGTGGAGGGCAGTGCGAGAGGGTCCCGGCAGTTTCAGGGTATTCTGGAGCTGGTTTCATGTGTCCTGGTCTTCCTCCACTGGGAGGCCAAGAGCTGCTGCTGAAGAAGGTTGTGGTATTGTTTATGGTCATCCAGAGGGAAGGCGGAATTAGTGCCTCGTCTGGTGACAACGAGGCTACAGTGGGGACTGGCGGTACTGATGGTACCGGCTGTACTGTAGCGTCCTCTGGTTCGTCGTCAACCGAGAAAGGTCTGGTGTGTGGCCAGGTTGGTAAGAGGCTACCAGTAGTAGTCCACAGTCCTGGTAGCGGTCCCAAGAAGGCCAGTGAGGCCAAGTGTACAGGTTGCTAGGTATTGGCAGACATCAGGGATAGCGGAGCCCTGGGTCGGAAGTAAGGTCATATACCAGTAGATAGGATGGTCGGCGCCTGGGATATGGGCTATGAGATTGGCCGGGTGAGAATGAGGGAATCCAGCTCTGAAAAGTCTTCTGAGTTGGAGGACGGGTCTAATAGGGGTGGAGCCGCTGGTGCAAGATGGGTGGAAGATATGCATCGTGCTGGGAAAAGACGGAAAGGTTCATCCACCAGAGAAGGGAGCTCAGTGGTGGATGGGGGACCAGACAGTAGTGGGGAACCTGGGAATGTGTGGGAGCAACAGCTCTGCAGTAGGCATCAGTGGTTCCAGGTGTGCAGGGAACCATGCGTGGTGGCCTGGAGGGGCCCGGCATCATCACTAGTACCAGAAGTGATAAGGGTGCTGGACCAGTGACCGGGGCCGGAGGTGACACCAGTGGATCACATCGGTACTTCAAGTTATGCTCCGTCTGGGGTTTCTTGGGAGCTGGAGCAGTCGGGTTGGTGCATGACTTCTCACCCGACTTGGCATGGCTCAGGAAGGCAACACTGTGTTTAGGGGCAGTCCCTGTTGGGGAGCCAACCTTATGCCCATGTCCATGTTTCTTATGCTCACAGTGAGCTTCTGCGGCTGCGGTGGTACCCCTGGGTTTGGCGCCTTGGAGGAAGATGGAGGATGGATGGTGGTGATGGGAGGTGATCTGCTGGTCTGGATCTGACTGCGCACGTGGGCGCATAAGCTCCTCCATTAGAAACCTATGGAGGCGAAATTCTCTCACTTCTCTCATTCTGAGCAGGAATGAGCGGCGGATGGAGCAGCAGGTGATGATGTGAGCTTTGCTGAGGCAGTAGAGGCACCGTTGGTGCTTGTCGCTCACAGAGAAGGAATGCAGGCATGAAGCACAGTTTTTGAAGTCGGCTTGCCGGGGCATAATCTCCCTGATGGGGGAAGGGTCCAATGAGGATCAACTAGGAATCTACACTATAAACATCTGTATACAACTATATATACTGGAAAAACAGACAAGCATCTCTTTTAGCAAGGCTAGGAGCACTGAGGAACAGGGATTCTGACTCTGGCCATGTGGTGATGAGAGAACTGGAGCGGTGTCAACCCTCACGGCCTCTGATAGCCTCAGATGCGAGCATACGGATGACCCACGTTGATGTGCAGGTCAACGCAAACTACTACAAAAACTGCACACCCATGTTTAGAATCCATATATGGACCATCACTTGAAGAAGAATGTGGGCCTGAGAAACCTATGAAGGACATATGGATGTTCAATATAGCCCTATTGATAGAAAAGGGTTCCTGTACTAAGAGAATATTTACTCAGCGACCCTGCTGGGAGGGAGATGAGATTTTGAGGCATTTCTGAATAGTGCTTTATGGTTAGTGCTTTGAAAACTTATACTAGATGTGTAATGCATTATGGTAGAAACGCAAATTTTGATAGCCTACCTCTAAGCTTTGATACCTATGCTAGTTTCTCCTGAGCATGTTGCTAGACTAGTCTAACCAAGCCCTCTACACAATCTCAGGACCCAGAGAAGGTATGAATCCTGTAAGATCACATTTATCCAATGGATATGGGATGCTATCCCCTTCCTCTTTGTCCATGAAGAGAGACACTTGAGTTCTAGCTACCTCTTAAACGCAATCTGTGGCTACATTTAGACAGAGAAATCTAAATCAGCAGTCTCTTAGTCTATTTCCTTTATCTCTCCTTTATGTCTGTCAAACATAAAGGAAGTGGCTGTTGTGTTGAATGGGGGACTTTGTGCTCGTGGTTACTCTGTGACATTCTCGCCTTGTTAGTCTCACTGCTCACTACTATCTGCTTAGTGTAAACTTGAACAAGGAAAGAGCAGAAGTACTACAATGAAAACCATACGTACTGGTATTGTTTGTCATAGTTTCCTTTTTTCTCCTATCTTACTTCACTCACACCTCTCCTAAGGGACTGCTTCTCAGGTGATGAGTTTTTTCCTAATATATTTCTATATTTGTTTCTGGAAGATTGAATCAGGTAGGTTTGGCTTTACGTTTTGGCTTTGACAGCTATTTGTCTCCTTGCTTTCTGACATCTGAAGCCAAAATGCTTAATGTAAGAACCTGACAACAAATAGAACATTGGAGGCACATTGTGATGGCTGGACCTGCACTTTCCTAAATTCCTCCCTGTATACTCTTTCTGTACTCTTCCCCAACATAGAAACTCCACTTCTTTGTGTATCGGGAATAAGATATGCAGTGAAAATGGTATTTTTCAAAATACAGTTTTGAGTATTACAATAAGTAGATACATAGACTTACAAGTACAAGAATTCACTGTAAATTTTTTTCTTTACAAATGTCCATAGGTATAATTCTTAATTGTACATAATTTAATTCTGCTATGTAGCCTGAACATCTTTCTGATTAGCTGAATCAAAAATCAGTCCTGCCTTTTTTAAAATTGCAAAATGGACTTATGAGTTTGGTTCAAATCAGTTTTATGTTACAACATATTGACAATAGATTTAAATAAAAAGAAGTAATTGCTTTTCATTACTGTATCACTAATATTGTTATGTTGAAAACAATTATTTTTTCAGGATTTTGGAAGCTGCAAGATGTTCCCACCTGACAGATGCAGGTTTTACACTTTTAGCACGGGTAAGGATTATTTTAAAAATGTACAGTTTACCTAATTTTCACTGGTACCGTACATATCTGAATTTATCCAGTCATGTTGGGGATGATGAAAAGAAAGTAGAGTAGAAGAGAGGCCCCTTAGAGGAGGTGGCCAGGAAAGAACCAAAATAATTGATTTTATTTCTGGAACGTATTTACAAATAACTGGAGCTTGGAATATTTTTTACAGTGGCTTTCTTCCTTCCCCGCCCCTGCTCTTTTTATTTTTTTTTAAAAGTATTTAAATTTAGTCACATGTATTTTTCATATATAGAAAAATAATTTTAAAGCCTATAACTATAAAATATAATGCAAGCAGGCTTCCTAAGTACAGAAAGTCTCCTTATAGCAGATTGTTCTGTGTATCAATTATTGCTGCAAAATATATCTAGATAATATTTTCAGTTAAGCCTTAACTCATGCCTATTGACTTCAGTGAGACTTCTATAGCGTTTAAAGTTAGAAGCAGACTTACTGTGTTGATTAAGGGACTGGATGGAACTGAATATTTAAAGGGAAAAGGTTTCTGTTTTAATGGATCTAATTTTTGTTTCACTCTTTTATAAAATTGTGTAAGGTTTATTTTAAATAAAATGAAGCACAAAAATGTTTTTATTTAAATAGGAGTTGTGTAACAAACATTTGATATGAACAAGAGCTATTTTAGTTCCAGGGGCATAGGGGGCAGTTGGCAGGGTATTCTCTAGACCTTTGGAACATGCTTCCTTATCAGGGCTGTAACATCCCGAATTTGTTAGCATGTGCAGCAAGATGCACCTTTTCCCCTGGCTTGTGAGGAGATGAGGGTTTGGAAGGGCTGAATAATAGTTCTGTGTGAACTATATGGGGAGGTCAGTTAGTTCTTCTTGTATTTATATTTTCTCTGGGTTATTTGATTTTATTGCAGTAATTTGGGGGCCTGTTAAGTATTTCTTTCCCACATTGTGGCTTGTTCCATACAAGTACTCAGACAACACTGCTGCTATGTTCCGCCTTAACAAGCATGGAGGTACCAGGTCAGACCTCTTTTGCCAAGAAGCAATGAACCTCTGGTCTTTTTGCATCAAGAACAAAATTATGCTCAAAGCATCTCACCATCCCTGGTGTCAGAACTGTCTAGTGTACCATTTCAGGAGATTGTTCAGAAGAGATTACAAATGGTCCCCTCAGACCTGACATAGCAAAGTCCATTTTTCAGATGTGGGGAATGCCAGAAATGGACGTGATTATTACCTGACAGCACAGGAAATGTCACCAGTTCTGTTTCAGGATGAGTGTCGGTTCAGGGTCCGTATCAGATGCCTTTCTACTATCCTGAAAGGGGAAACTTTTTAAGGCTTCCCTCCCGCCACCACCCAAGTCTCTGTGGTGCTGAGAGTGGTGGGCAAACTCAGGCAAGATCATGCTGTTTAATTTTGATAGCAGAAGCCTGGCCTTGACAGCACTGGTTTTCAGACCTGTTGAACCTTTCAATTTGAGATCCCATAATCCAGGGATGGCCAACCTGAGCCTAAGGAGCCAATGTACATTGCCAAAGAGCCACAGTAATATGTCAGCAGCCCCCCATCAGCTCCCACTCCCAGCACCTCCCACCCACCGGCAGTCCCGCTGATCAGCGTCTCCCCGCACCTCCCGATCAGCTGTTTTGTAGCGGGCAGGAGGCTTTGGGGGTGGAGGGGAGGAGCGAGGGCACTGCAGGCTCAGGGGAGGAGGGACTGGGGGCAGAGCCAGGGGTTGAGTAGTGAGCAACCCCCCCCCGGCACATTGGAAAGTTGGCGCCTGTAGTTCCAGCCCCGGAGTCGGTGCTTATACAAGGAGCCGTATATTAACTTCTGAAGAGCCGCATGTGGCTTCAGAGCCACAGGTTGGCCACCCCTGCCATAATCCTTCCTCAGGTCCCAGACATAGTTTCCCAGAATCAGAGCCAAACTGCATTCCAGCCCTCTTAGCCTGCACCTGATTGGTTATGTTTAGTGGTTAACTACTCACGAGTCTACTTGTTCTATTGCAGTGTGAAACATTCTTTTGAATAGCAGAAAGCCCTCCACCAGGTACGCTTCATAAAATGGAAGATGTTCTCTGTGTGGTCCCAGCAGAAAGTTACCTTTCATTTATGGGTTCCCATTCAGTTTATTCTTCATTACCTGCTTCACCTAAAGGAGAAATGTCTTTCTGTCAGTGCCCTGAGGATTAATCTGGCTGCTATCTTAGCCCTTTCATCTATAGGATAGTGGAATGCTGTTTTCTTCAACCCTATGACTATAAAGTTCTTGAAAGGTTTGGGTAGGCTTTTCCCACGTATTTGAGACCCAACTCCATCCTGGGATCTAAATTTGATTCAGTTTTAATGGGGCCTCCTTTGAACCTATTGCTACGTGCTCATTGTTTCACCTCTTGATGAATGTTGCATGCCAAGTAGCTATTACTTTGGCCAGGAGCACTTCAGGCTTTGATGGCTGACCTTCCTTAGATGGTATTTTACAAGGACAAAGTTGGTTTGCATCCACACCCTAAATTTCTCATAGACTCATAGACTTTAAGGTCAGAAGGGACCAATATGGTCATCTAGTCTGACCTCCCGCATGATGCAGGCCACAAAAGCTGACCCCCCCTCTTTCCCTTAACTCTGCTGTTGAAGTCTCCAGATCGTGATCTAAAGACTTCAAGTCGCAGAGAATCTTCCAGCTTGCGACCCCTGCCCTATGCTGCGGAGGAAGGCGAAAAACCTCCAGGGCCACTGCCAATCTACCCTGGAGGAAAATTCCTTCCCGACCCCAAATATGGCGATCAGCAGAACCCCGAGCATACAGGCAAGATTCTCTAGCCAGACCCTCATTTTACCAGCGATGGCCGTTATTGCCTAATTGACTAAATCACGTTATCCCATCAAACCATTCCCTCCATAAACTTATCTAGCCTAATCTTGAAGCCAGAGAGGTCTTTCGCCCCCACCGTTTCCCTCGGAAGGCTGTTCCAAAATTTCACCCCTCTGACGGTTAGAAACCTTCGTCTAATTTCAAGCCTAAATTTCCCCACGGCCAGTTTATATCCATTCGTTCTCGTGTCCACATTAGTACTGAGCTGAAATAATTCCTCTCCCTCCCTGGTATTTATCCCTTTGATATATTTAAAGAGAGCAATCATATCCCCCCTCAGCCTTCTTTTGGCTAAATCACGTTATCCCATCAAACCATTCCCTCCATAAACTCACAGAAGCGGTTTTGGATTTTCATATTCATCAGACTGTACTTACCAACTTTTTCCCTCCAAACCTCACTCATGCAAAGTTGAGGAAAAGCTCCATACTTTAGATGTTTGCAGAGCTGTGGCTTCCTGTCTGGATAGGACTAAAGAGTTTAGGACACTGCAGTTATTAGCCTCCTTTGCTGATAGGGTGAAAGGGAAGCCTGTTATATTACAGAAGATCTCTTCCTGGATCTCCTCCCTCCCACATCCGTGTTATGCTATTGCCAATGTTCCATGACCTCAGAGTGTTTTAGCATGCTCTGCAAGAGCTCAAGCAGCGTTGGCTGCTTTCCTGGGTCACGTTCCCATCAGTGACATTTGCAAGACTGTCTCTTGGTCATCTGCTCATATGTTGGTTGCTCATTATGCTCTCTCCCAGGCCTCTAGTTACAATGCTAAGTTTGGGAGAGTGGTGCTGCAGTCCTTGTTTAAGTAGACTCTGATACTCTCCTCCATCAGACTCCTAGGCCACTTAAAGTGAAATGGACATGTGCAATCACACAAAGAAGAAAACACAGTTCCGTACTTGTTCAGTAATTATTGTTCTTTGAAAACTATTGTTCCCGTGTTCATTCCATGACCTTCCCTCCTTCCCTTCTACATCGGAGGCACAGCAAATACTGGCTTCCAGTGTCAAGGAACTGAGGGAGGAGTCAGGGCAGCTCCATATTTTTATACTTTCATCTAGCAGCGCAAGCATGCAGAGATCACATGTGCTGCCCCGACAGGTCGTACCTAAAGTGGTATGGACATGTGCAACGCATCTTAAAGAACAACAATTACCAAACAGGTATGTAACCATTTTTATAATGGCAAAAGCCAGCATGGATGCCTGAAACACTGTAATAATCAAATATTCTTTCTCCCTTTGTCTGTGACCCAGTATTAATGGTGATGCGGTTAGGACCACCCATTAGAATTCAAGATCAAACTGCCACCCTTCCTCTTACTTGTGGTATTTTTTTTGTTCTTATTATTTTAATTTTTTAGAATTGCCACGAACTGGAAAAGATGGACTTAGAAGAGTGCATTCTGGTGAGAATCAGTTTTACAAGGCGTATTCATCATAAGTCCATTATAAGAACCTGTAATGCCATTCAGAACATCGGTGCTTTGTGTTTTTTTTTTTTTTTTTTTTACCAATAGGGGGAATTCCAAATTCTAATGTTTCTGATAGTAAATGCAGATAATTATTGGGAGGTCTGTATAAAGGGGAATTCAAAGAAAGGTGACTACAAACATTTATCCATTTCCCAGAGAAGTCTCTAATAGACCAGTTGATATCAGAACCGTCATCTGGCAGAGAGCAATACCTAACTTTGATGTAGAGATTGGGTTACAAACCTGTTGTTTATGGTATCAAATGATAAAAATAAGCAAAGGAACAAAACATGGCAGAATTTACTGGACCTTTAAGAAGGTCTATAAAACCCTCTCTGCTGGGAAAAAAGGTGGCGGGTTTTTTTTCATCTCACGTCCTCTCTGACAATTGGCAAGATGACAAATCTATCCAAATAGCTTGGTGATAGACTAAGTTCAATTCAGCATGTAGTGACTGTTTTCCTACATTTTAAGCTCTTCATCCATCTGTTCAGATAAAATTTGGGAAAAGGGGACGACTTTATTTTTTTATCCTCTTTATGGGTTTATAGATCAGAAGGGTATGAATGGAATAAAATTAAACCCAAGTGTACATGTTCAGCTACTTGAACAAAGTGGATTTTTTTTCAGCTAGTCAGCTCTATTATTATGTATAAGCCAGTCTATAACTTTGCATTTATGTAGCCAATTGTTTGGTTTCTTCTCTTCCTAGATAACAGATAACACATTGATACAACTTTCTGTTCACTGTCCTAAACTGCAAGCATTGGTGAGTTTAACTCTTATAATATATCTATTAATAATAAGGATTGGCTCTCAGCCTGTAGCTACTAGTTTTTTGTTGTGTTACAACACTGTACAATTTATACTTTTTAATAAAATATGTTTTAAATGAAGCTTATTTCTAAGACTATTTTAAATATGGCATCAAGTACTGTAAGTAGATCGTCTCAAAGCAATCCATGAATCCCAATATAATCAGAAAAACGGCTTAAATGTTATAATGAACCTGTAACCATCCTTTACTCGTGAGCAATTAGTCAGAATAAAAAGCTACATGAGACAGTTTAAAAATATTTAAAGATGCTCTCTTACATATTTTATCTCTAAAGATTTTTCTAGGAAATCATGAAATTGTAATATACAGTATATTTTGAAACAGATCAAATGATTAATTAGAAAATGGATAATTGCTTAGCAAAAGTGTATACAGATATGGCCCAATCCTGTAAACAGTCATGTGTGTGATTTTCGCAGCAGTGGGTTTATAGTATCTGTCAGTTTTTGTTGCCTACATTTTCAAAAGTGACTAGGGATTTTTAGTTCATTTTTAAAGAATCCAACTTGAGATATTTTAATGGATCTGATTTTCATAGGGTGGGTGCTCATTTTCTGAAAATCAGGCCACTTAAAGTGACTCAGATTGGCCACTTTGAAATTGAGGTACCCCAAATCACTAGTGGGTTTTGAAAATTTAGGCCTAGGCATTTGGAGCCAACTGTCACACTACCATTTGGCATAAGGAAGGGTGTTGTATTTCATGTGTGGCAGGTTACTGTTCATTATGATATACTGCCTTAAATCTACCTGAAGAAAATAGATATACTTTCTAATCTATGCTTAGGAGGGATTAAGGAAATGTTTACTTCTTTGTTAATTGCTTAGCCATGTCATTGACTTCCTCCACACCCTCAGCTCGAGGAAGTGTGTTACTAAGGCAGCAGCAGGCTCAGGAAGAGATTTGGCTTTAAAAAGGAACCGTATCCACTGCTATATGCAGATTAATCATCCCATCCCATCCCATCCTATTCCACGGTCATAATTCCACACATTGTATGCTTCACTTCAGTGAATGAAGTAGTCTACCAATCAGACAAGGAACTGTTTACATGTCAGTATTTATAAGAATATGTTTGCCTACATGTGCCACGGTACTGAAAATGGCTTCAGTCCCATCTCTGAATCTTCATAGGATCGTTTATATCCAAAGATATTTTAAACTGCACAAATCTAGGTCAGTCAATCCAAAATATTTATTGGCTTCCTATTAAATAGTGAACTTGAACATATATTGTAATTTAGCAATCCCATTCAGCAGAGGGAATCTACTTTATAAAGAATTACGGTTCCATTTGATAGTCTCATTGTAGCCTTACTTAGATTAATAATTTGACACAGTCTATTTGGTATGACTAGAGATGGCTTTATCAAGAGTTCTTTATAAAATGCTATCTGTCCCTGTGGCTGGGAACGATATGCTATAGCATCACTTACTTGAAATAGAAAGGAAAGTTTAGAAATAAAACTCAGTTTAGGGATCAAAATGAATGGAGAGGAGTAATTACTATAGAAATTGCAGTATTGTATTCTTTTTGATATCGTAATCCCATTTATAACCAGTCCTCCTCAGGTACATACAAGAATTTTTTGTGCCTCTCCCAGTACTTCAAAGGAGATGTCATAGAAATCAGCAATCATGGTTTATGGATGTTATTCCTCCTTTAACAATCTACTTCACAGGTAATAGGATTGTGATATCCTGTGCCTCAGACAACCTGCTGACCTACTTGAAGGTCACAGTCTATCGGCTGAGAACTGGTACAATGTTAATATATATTATGGCACCTTTATAGTACAGAAACCATGTATCCTGTGATTTTTAGAAATAAAAATTCAATTTCCTGCCCAATGCTATCCTGTGTGTAGCAGAGAACATTACAAAATGTTCAGGCAGATTGTGTAGAGAACACCACCAGGTGAATTGGAAAAACATTTAAAAAAAAAAAAAAGCCCACTAATCTTAATTTAAAGTTTTAAATTAATTCACTTGAGCTGTGCTGTGAACTCTTTGTGATTGCTTTCTGTGAACATTTATCCAATTGAGTGTTAGTGGCACAAATATTTACAAAGTGCATTTCAAAGTTGCAGAAATCAAATTTTAAATTCACCAGTGTTTCCTTACAGAACAAATCAGGGAACAGAGACACAGACTTACTTGGCAGAATTCAAATACTCCAATACTTTATATAATCAATTTGTAGACGTTCAGAAGCATTTGACAGTTTTATGTGATTTTTTTTAAACAAACAAATACACCAGAGAAATTGTAATTGGTCTATGGATATTCCATCAGCAGAAAAAGAATCTTATCTCATCAGTTATTTTGTTTATACTGTTTGTTAATAATTTGTTGTTCAGCTAGCTCAACAAACTTTGTCTTCATTTGATTTGTACCTAACATTTATTTCTAAATAGCAAACCAAAAAGTTGACCAGCCCTCTGTATTCTAAGATTTTAAACTGTAAACCTGACGCTTTCTATCTTGTTAACTATTTCAACCAGATTGATCAAGTCTGAAGTATCTTGTGCTTTAATACAGAATATGACATTAGGTATGTTTGCTTCATAAAGTCTATGAATTTAGCTGTACATCCTGTATTGTCTTATTCCGTTTCAAGTCACTGGAGTACAGTCTCTCAGGAAAGCTGAATTTATAAGCTGCTTATTTCCTAGGATGTGAAACTCTCTTAATTAGCCAGTAGACTGATACAATAGCCAAAAGGTCACATTTGTCTTCATATAACCTTCCTTCCTTCCTTCCTTGAAACCACAGGTTTGTTATAAATAGACTTTGCGGTGGGGGACACAAACCCCCATACTTTTAACCTTTAGACTCCTGATAATTTCAAGGTTGCCAGCCAAATAAGTGCTCAGGAGGATATGTATACAAGTATATACAGAGAGAAGGCAAACGAGATCTAAAACATCCAAAGACTGAACAGGAGCTAAGAATGTAAACACAGACCTTAAGATAAAAGAGAGTTCACAGGAGTAAGCACTTTCATTTTGTGACTTTTAAAAAATAATAATATATGCGTACATTACATGATGTTCTAATACAAAACACACTGCACCCTGTTGGGTGAAGAAAATGAAAATACAACATGAAGCAGCTGGAATTGAAGGGGAAATGCTGAGATGGTTCCTCTGGAGAAGTGGATGAAATCCCTCTTCTCTCCATCAGACTGATTCAGTGAGAGTTCTGAGTCCTCCCTCTCTTTCTGGTCTCTGATCTTCCTTTGCAACTTTCAGTAAGGGGAAAAACAGATGAGGAGGAAGCTAATCTTAAGGATATACAGGCTAGTCTGTGCCTGTTAATGGCCAAGAATCCCTCATAAACCAAAGCAAGTAAGCGAAAGGGTTTGCCACAGCAGGATGGATTGATTTAAATCAGAGGTGGTCAAACTGGGGGGCAGGGAGCAAGAGGCAAGAAGCTTTAGGGGGGAGAAAAAAAACGTGCACATTTTACCCACAGCAATGAATAACTAGCAAAGCTGATTCCTCCAGAAATATCAGGTCATCATTTGCTCCGATATGGTGTGCACATTTAATTGTAAGCATTGACCACAATCACAGTTTTGCATTTGCTCTTATTACAGTGGATCGTTGGCTCTGTTTGAATCAATGCTTTACTGTTTTTAATATTTAGTGAGCTGCATGTTGATTTTTTTTTAAAACAGTCTATGTACTTGTGTGGCAGGGGGAAGGTAAACTACTACAGACACAAAGGGGGGCACAATCAAATAAGTTTCAGAACCACTGATTTAAATCAAAAAGTTTCAAATTATCAATGTAAATCATGATTTAAATAAGCAACTTTAATTTATTTCAGTTGTGATGTGTAGTTCTACTTTTTTTTTTAGTTATTTTGCTAAACAAAGGTTCATTACCAATAAAGGTTGGTAACTATTAAAATATGTTTGCAACTATAAACTTCACGCTAAATTAGGTGCTTCTTTTTGTTAATCAGGAGGATACAATTTATCTATACGCCTTTATTTAAGCAATTATATAGCTTAATTTACCTTTATTCAGATTCTTAATTTTTACATTTTTAATAGAAAATGATGATTGGTGCATTTCTTATTTACTAGATGGCTAATTTTTAACTTATTGTATGCAGTGTAGTTGTAGCCGTGTTGGTCCAAGGATACTAGAGACACAAGGTATGGTTGAGGTAATATCTTTCAGTGGACTAACTTTGGTGAAAGAGACAAGTTTTCAAGCCACAATGAAAGAAAGATATTACTTCATCTATCTTGTCTCTCTAATTTTTAAACTTGTCAAGCTCTATTTGGATGGAAATTCAAATGCAATTAAAATACACAATTTAATTTTAATACATAAAACTACCTTAAAAGTGCTGAATACATAAGAAAAACAGTTTATCAAAACATGTTTTCCATTTAAAAGTGATTTATTAAACAAAGGAAATATCTGTAGTTAATGAATTGAACTGCTTGTTTCTAGTTACTATGTCCTTCAGATTTTAGAACTGATAGATCTCATCCTTTCACATCTAATTTTTATTCATTGATAGAAGAGGAAAACAAGCTTTTCTGTTTTTTTTAGCTCTCAGTTGGTTTCTTAACTTTGAATGAACTAACCATTGAACTGAACTTGTTGAATAAATGGAAATGAAGCAAATATACTCTCTGTATCCGCAGAAGAGACTATTGCTGTCAAAAGTTGACTGACTAGCACTTTAACAAACTCTGGTTCCAGGTACTTAGCCAGTGATTTCCCCCAGTTCAGTGGTTTGACTTTCTTTAACTCTTGGCAGAAAACATACTGCTTAATATTATTTGTATTTAATTTAAATGATTTTAAAATTATAGTAAATTTAGTGCTATTAACATAGGTTGTCATTTCAAATTGAATTTTAATAGGTTTATTTTAAATAACCTTGTATTAATTTAAATTAATAAAATCCTATTTTTAAATAAATTTTTATCCACCCCATGCCACAGTAGTAGTAGTCCTCAGAATTTGTTGTCCTGCTGGAGCAAAAGGTCTAATGTGCTACAGGCTGAGGAAAGGATACAGGTGCCCCCTAGCTTTCCCAATTGTTGGATCTAAAGGACTGTTGAGAGCTGCTATTTGCCTCTGGTGAGGAGTTAGAAAGTGTACCCACTTTCCATTCATGACCAAGGGTTTCCGCACCAGAGGTGCTCCATCAGAAGCTCTCTCCAGACAAGTAAAAAGGCGCACAGCGCAGATAGCTGGTGGTCTATGGACAATTCATGTTTCTGAGCTGGGTCAGAGTGAAAGATGGAATCAACTCAACACATCAAGCCCTTCTGCAGAGGTGATGACAGTGCAGAGCATTTATTTTATAGGTAGCTGACAAGGGTCTCAAAGTATCTGCAATGAAAATTCAAGGGTGTCTTGTTATCCTGACAATGCTTCTGTGAAGGCCATGAATCCTCTGAAGGAGGCAGGAATCAGCTCAGCTTGAAATGGTTTTCTGGAGTGGGGGACATGAGGCTTTTTCCATTCTCTTCAAACATGAGAGGTAAACAGGTGCAAGCTGATGTCTTTTAAGGGAATGCCAGTGCTTTGAATGCTTGAAATACAATTCTTAAACCTACTCTTACCACCTTCAGTATAAAGCCTGTGTCAATAAGTCCTTGGTGAAAAAACATTAGTTTTATAAGTAAATAAAGGCTAAAACAAAAGGCTGAGGAACACACTCTCCCAAAAAAGCAGTTAATTCAGCATAGTACCTGGGTCTTTGAGGTGATTGCTTGCATGGATCCAGAGTATGCACTAATACATGCCTGCAGTGTTCATGTGGCATATCACAGACACCCAACGGTATAGGTAACTTATTCTGCAAGAAATCTAGCAGTTTTGAATGTAAGATCTGATTTTTCAGAGGTAGTGAGGTGCCCGTAACTCCTGCTGAAGTGAGTTTAGCACTGCAGAAAAATCAAGCTATTATTGTTCTTCATACATAAATTGTATAATTGCAGGTCTGTAAGAGTAAAGAATGTTCTGGGAGAATATCATGTCTCTCCTCTTAGTTTTCTAAAGTCAGCATCTGGCATTGCAAATGTGTAATTTTGCCCCTTATTTTCAGTAAATTGAGCTGTGTAACAACATAATTGGATTTCTACATCTCTAGAGAGCACAGTGCTGAGTTTGGCCATTGCTACAAAAGTGCCTGTCCTGGGGCTGTAGTGATGAAGTCAAATTATGATTTAAGTGTGTCATTCTGAGTGTCATTTAAGTGCTGCAACCCTAAGCTGCTCCTTTTGGCAGCTGCTTCTCCTGCCCTTCAGGTGTAAGGAGATAGCACTTTAAATATGCCTCTTTGCTTCTGCAAAAGGATTAGTAATGAAATGGCACTAACAGTACAAGTATTTTGAACATGGTAATCCAAATACAAAGTCGCTTGAGGTTGTTCTTAGTCCTGATCTTTTGCACGGGACATAATTTAAAAAAAAAGAGTGGAATGAAACATTTCATTGTCCTTTTGTCTTGTAGAGCTTATCTCACTGTGAACTGATCACAGATGATGGGATTCTGCATCTGAGCAACAGTACCTGTGGTCATGAAAGGCTCCAGGTCCTAGAATTAGACAATTGTCTTCTTATCACCGATGTGACCCTGGAGCACCTAGAGAACTGCCACAGTTTGGAGAGAATTGAGTTATATGACTGTCAGCAAGTCACGCGAGCAGGAATCAAAAGAATAAGAGTATGTGTCTTGTGTTTTTTAAAGATTCAGCTTTGGGAAAGACCGTCATTTGTGCAATCAAGGGAGACGTATTGGATACACTTACAGTAGCTTAACAGATAGCCCAAAGCAAGGGAAGGTAGGATGAAAACTAAGGATGTTGGTTAACGTACTTTAGAAGACTCCCAACTTTAGGCATCAGAACTACCCTGGGTATATGATCAAAAATCACCACCCAGTGCCTAATCCCATTTATAGTCCAAGCTACAGTTGGTATCAGAATAATTGTCCATGCTGATCTTTTCTCCCACTGATGTGGATTCCAGCTGGAGCTCTGTTTAGTTCCTAATGTTTGTTTCCCATTCCCTCAGGGTTTTTTAAAGGTGGGTTGTGTTTTTGTAGGACTGTAGAATTCTTTAAATTCTACCAACCATGCATCCTCATTACAATGCAGATATAATAAAGTATAGGACACTTGGGTAGTAGGGGCAGTTAGGCCTGTGGATCTACCTAGTAACAGCAGACCTAACATCCCCTGCCCTTGCAGGATCAGTCTCCCCTCCTCTATGTAACTCCCTGTGTTTTAAGCACAGAACTTTTCTGCTGAACACGTGGCAGCATTTAGGGCATAGCACTGATCCACGGACACAGTAATGCTGTGCTAGTTCACTTTCAAATTAATCACTTTGCACTGATGAAGTCTGCCTCTCTCCCTTGCAGGAACTGCTGAAGGTACCACCACTCCCTTCCCTGCTGATTTCAAGGCTGAGGCAAGCCTGGGGAAAGAATGGTTGTACGGGAGATGTATAATTAAGTCTTGCTTCTGTTTCTTCACTGGCAAGAAATCCACCCTCTAGTGATTAACAGCAGAATGAAAGTTAGCCAGCCCACATGAGCAGTGTAAATACCAGTTCAACAGAAAGGAGTCAGTCACTGAGATTTAAGGTGGTAGCTTTTGGATGAGTGAATGGCCAGGTTCTAGATTATTACATTGCTCTCCTATGCTTAAATATTACTCCTATGCCATAACTTTTCCAGTTTTGCTGGACATAAGCACTGGGACTTGGCATTTAGGTAATGCAGGTTAAGCCATGGCTTGCCTGGATGCCCTATATATAGATAATATGAGCAGGAAGAAAAGCTTTGACAGTAGTGTGATGTCAGCAATAGTTTGGTTTTGTTTTTCGTACTTCTGGGTTACATTTTTCATTTGAATTTTCATCTACAGGCTCACTTACCTGATGTGAAAGTTCATGCCTACTTTGCTCCAGTCACCCCTCCTCCTTCTGTAGGAGGTAGTCGACAGCGACTCTGCAGGTGCTGCATTATTCTTTGACAGTAGGAGCATCAGCAGAGGAAGAAAGATTCCTTTAATTATGGAAACAAAATCAGACTGCAAGTGGCTTGCAGAGTGTCAGTTTCTTAACTGCCATAGGAGTGATGTCGCAGTCATCCAATTTTGTGCTGGTACTGACTCAAGAAAGGTGTTTTTGCAGGTAAAAAGTCTTAATGTTACATGTGGATGTGGAGTAACTGATGCTTTTTTTGTTTTTTTGATTACATCTACTCCATCATCCCTGCTGTTGATATGACAATCATAGTACCATTTGCTAATGTGGACTGGGGTATTTCAGAGTTGTAGATGCTCAGTGACAGCCCCAACACTATAAGCCTCACTAAACCTGAATATTAGTTCCTATTTGTAAGCATTCTTTAGTGTAAAAAAAAATTCAGGGTCTCTTAAGCATGTGAGTCCAAACTGCTGTTGTACAATACACATAACCAATTACATCATCAGGTTTAAGGACAAATCAGCTTTAGCAGAAGTTGACCAAAAAAGGGAAAGTAATAATGAAAAATAGCTTCCTATTTTGCTACAGCTTTATTTAATTTCTACAAAAACTCCCAGCATGTTAAGAGGTAGTACACCTCTAGAAAACTATTTAATTTGAACTTTGTTATATACAAAAGAGCACTTCTCACATTGTTGAATGGTCTGTATAGAATATTTCTCTAAAGAGTCTTAAGTGTTACCAAGTAGGTTAGGATAAGAAAGGTATGGCAGTTTGTGCCCTGTACACACAAGGTCTTTTTATATGCTCTAGCTGAGTAGGTAGAGCTGTTTACTATAGTGGCTGAAAGAATATATATGTATGGTACTTAGATTTCCCTCATTGTCATGGTATTTAATATATTTAGCCTAAACAGAAGCTCTGGGGGGTATTACTGCCTTTTTAAAAAAAAAAACAGTTTACTTACTTTGCCTAGGTCAGATCCTAAATCTGTGAGACAGAGCAAGGAATTGAATGCTGGGTTCCTGCATCTTCAGCCAGTACCCTAACCAATGAGCTGAGTGGTTGGAAATCTGAATAGTCTGGGATCCCTGGTTGATAAAGGGGTCTGCAAATGAAAAAAGGTTGAAAACCCCTGGGCTAAATAATTTAATGTAGTTGACATGGTTGAGACCCTGAACAAGCAGTGGTTTCTGTTCCTTTAAAAACTGAACATTCAACATGACAATTAAAAAAAAGGTTAAAGGTATTAATGTTTTTAAATATGGGAGGGTGACATCCTGGCCTCATTGACATCAGTAGGGACAGAATTTCAGCTGTAGATTTAAGCCTTCTACAAAGGAGAGTGAAATCTGAATGTCTAAGGGGGAGCTACATTTTTATATTAAACCACCTAAATAAATGGTTGGTGTGCACAGCCTCTGTATACTCACTTACCCAGGCTCAACAGTAACCCTTTAAAGGAAAATATCTTGGGCTTAAAAAAAGACTGGTCAACTGATATAGTGTTTAAATCCTGAAAATGATGTAATGTCATTTGACAAAAGCTCTAATAAGCCACACATACTGGAAATATTACCTTATCATTATGGGGAATGTCTAAGTTGTTGGCAAAACATAACTGGATTCAGATGGCAGTGTGTACATTTACACTGCACCCTTAAAACTCTTAATCTGGAATGTTTAGAACTACATGTTTTAAAAAGTTAATGTGAAAATGTAAGGCAGCTTTTTACAGCTGCAGATCTGCAAACTTAAGCTGCTAAAAATCTATATGAATACGGTATAAAGACTTAGTATTAAACTTTGGTAGTTCAGCTTTGTAGCAACAGCAAAAATTCCTGGATTAATTTTCATATTATGAATACACTTCTATTACCAAGATTCCCACTTAGAAATTTGGATTTATACAATTTTCTTAGCAGAACATTGGGGGAAGACCAAAATTAAATGTGAACTCAGTGCAACTTGTCAGAATGAGTAGTTGTGTGTTGCCTTAGGTTTGGCTCATTTTTATGGATCTTATTGTGAGGTTTTTATGGCATTAAAGTTGTACAAAAACCAAAATTTAACATATGCTTACACTAAGAAAAATGATATAGGAAACAAATAAACAATCAGCTAATATTTACTTGAACTTCTGTTTCACTGATTTCAAAAATTAAGGAGCACTGCAAGCCATTAATATTTCACTCAAAAAAAAAGTATGGTTTTTGTCAAGCTGAAATTGAGTTTTTTCAAATTGTTTTCTAAAATATTGCTGGGGGAGCTGACTTATCTGCTCTGAAATGCATTACTTCTACAACAATGTTAATTCTATTTTAGCAGAAAAATAAGCACATTTACAAAATTATTGAAAAACATTTATTATACTTAAATTGAAATGTGTACATCTTAAAACAAAAGCAATTTGCTGGTGCCATAATTTAATTCCAATTTCAAGTGAGCTGGACAAACTACTATACAATTCCTTTAAAATTAGATAACTAGTTGGATACTTTCCAATCAAGGATTTTTCCACTTTTATAAAAAACATTTGGGATTTGAAAATGGTGCTGAGGTGAAATGACAATTGTCAGTTCAATAAACTATTAAGACCCAACCAATACTGAAAGATGAACAATTTATAGGCAGAAGAAACTCGAACTTAAGTCTACAAAATTCTATTTGATCAGGGTAGAAAAACAGGAAAGAAAAATATTTAAGTTTGCAGAATTGCTAGAGCTTTAGAAAGGCTTTCTTGGTAAGCACTTAACCCAGCTAAAGAAGGAATTAAATAATATCAAAGTAGCATTTTGCAGTAGTTTGTTCTCTATAAATGATTTCGCACTTAGCACATCAGCAGGGGTCAGCAACGTTTGGCACGCGGCTCGCCAGGGTAAGCACCCTGGCGGGCCGGGCCAGTTTATTTACCTGCTGACGCGGCAGGTTCGGCTGATCGTGGCCCCCACTGGCCGCGGTTCGCCATCCCGGGACAATGGGGGCGGCGAGAAGCAGCGCGGGTGAGCGATGTGCTGGCTGCGGTTTCCCGCCGCCCCCATTGGCCCGGACAGCAAACCTCGGCCAGTGGGGGCCGCGATCGGCCGAACCTGCCGCGTCAGCAGGTAAATAAACTGGCCCGGCCCGCCAGGGTGCTTACCCTGGCGAGCTGCGTGCCGACCCCTGCACTACAGCATTCAAAACTTTCAAACTGATTTAAAGGGAGGGGGGATACTGTGAGTTAAAGGGGGTTTTTCTGCCTTTGAAAAAATTAATAAACTCATAAGTGGACATTAATATTAAATGTCTGAATTGCAGTGCCATACATTTGACAATTTCAAGGAAAAACTCAATTTTGAAAAGCACATTGCTTATTTCAAAAGATAAGTATTAAGTCATATGGAAGAGGCACTGTAAAAAAAAATTTACAGAATCAATCTGAGAATAAAGAAATCACAGAAAAGGTCAAGATACCTGCCCATAAAGAGTGATTATAGAAAGACATACCTGCTACTAAAGTGGTGTATATTTAGTGTTTCTTGAGCAATGTAATTGACAGTACTTAAAGCTATGTTGTAGCCCCTTGGTGCCAGTGGGTCAAATTTCCTTGTTCGCACAATTCTCTCCCACCACCTCAGGAAAACCCTCATTATTACTGGCAGTTTTTTGCTTTTTAAAATGGTGGGGTTAAAAACAACAAACAAAAAAAACCCTGCAGCAGTGCTTCTTAGAGAAACTGGAAACTAAAAATTAAGGATGCATAGGCAATTCTTTTCCATTAAATTTGTTAAAAGCAAAACAATTACTTCGTACCCCACAGGATTTATGTTAATCCTTTCAATAAGGTACTGTCGATAATGCAGTTTGCTGCATGCATATATTGCATCTGGCTAGGACTTATTAAAATCCTATTCTGGCATTTACATTTCTTACGTACACTCTTATACACAATTTACACAAGGAAGCTGTTTTGACAGCTTTACTCTCAAAAGACCCAAACAACCTGATCACTATCATCTTAACTACTCGTCTCCACACAGATTACTATGTGCTCTGCTAACAAAAAATAAAATCAGCATAAGGTACAAGCAAGTAATAGACAAACTGGCACAGAAAGGTAAATGCCCCAGAATAAGTTTACATTCATCTCCAAACTGGACACAGTATAATAGGAAAGCAATACTGCTTCTAGAAACTGTATCTACTGGCCATAATTTGCCTTATTTCAATAAAGGGCAAGCACCTTTGCTTATATTGTCTTCCATGCCTGTACATAGGCTGTCATGGCATTATACCTCTTATGAGGACACTTAGCTATGGCAGTGATAAGAAAGTTCACCTATCAAACAGCTCATTAGAAAGGTCTCGTGTTTTCAATATGAAACATTTTATATGGTGAAGTCCAATCCTAAGAGTTTTTGGATGTTCTTCATCGTCATTAAGCATGACTTCATTCTGCATTGGAATATCAGTCCAGTATATATACACACACCTCTCTCTATGCCATCACTTCAGAATTATATGGAAACCTTCACCATTTTCAGCTGCAGAGAAGAAAAAGGGACAGGTTTATATGAAAGAATGGCATCCCTTTACCCAAGACCCCAGCCACTGAAGATAGAACAATCTAAAATTCATGTAAGTTCTTGAAGCTCATATTGAAAAGCAAAACTTTTTACTACTAATTTGATACTGTGTTATCATATGACTACCTGACCTTTTTTGGAATAAAAACAGCGAACTTTCCCAGCATAACACATTCTGCACCACTTTCCAACAACACTGACTCGCTAATAAATTAAGCTCAAATTATCTTGAATGTAATTTTAAATATCTAGACACTTGCTTTGCTACTTTTATTTCTAGAACTTCCTTGTTCCCATTTCAATTCATGCAGTCCCTCCTACTTTCCTGTTTTTGATCTCTTTCATCAGTTCTGACACAGAACCAAAGGGTCCCCTGCAACTCCAGTTGAAGCTTTTTTTAGTGCTTTATCCTTAAATCTCATCTGCTCTATAATGCTGTGCTTCACAAAACTGATGAACAATAGAATCCGCATGAAACGATTTGGGGTTATTTTAAATTGTCAAGTTTTTTCAAGTAAATTCAGTAGATTGTATAGTGTTATTCTCTGGTGGTCTATAGCAACATTAGCAAATGGATTAGTTATCCTAGAATAAAGCAGGTAAATCAGCAAAACAAGTGTGTGAATATATAGATAGAAAGCCATCTGTCCTGTAGCCCAGAACATCAGGATGCAGATAAAGCAGTGGGCCTTTTGAAACAACTGCAGTAAATAGCTGCTGAAGCCAAACTGAACTTCTAAAAAATATTTTTCAAAACAATTTTTATATCTGTAGAAAAAGTGCAGATTCACTAGGAGTAGAAATTAGTGACTATTTACAGAAACTCAACACCACAAAAATTTTTGGGAAAAGCTGGATTTATGGTAGATGCCTGCTACTATTTTTTATTTTTAGCCATAAGATCTAAATGTAACAAAGATTTGATTAATGACAAGCCAAAGACACAAATCTCCTGGTATGAGGTTAAGAGACCCCCTCCAAATAAAATTTAACATGAGAACGGCCATACTGGGTCAGACCAAGGGTCCGTCCTGTCTGCCGACAGTGGCCAATGCCAAGTGCCCCAGAGGGAGTGAACCTAACAGGCAATACTAGGGATACCATTCCTTACCCATCCTGGCTAATAGCCATTAATGGACTTAACTAGATAAATTAATGAAGGTTCTCTTTTAAACCCTGTTATAGTCCTAGCCTTCACTCCTCAGGCAAGGAGTTCCACAGGTTGACTGTGTGAAGAGTATATAATACTCTTACTATATAACACAAGGTGATGAAGAGTGATGAATCCAAGACATCATAAGAGTGATGAATCCAAGGCATTTGGATTTGTTATGTATTGGCTGTAAGGCATTGTCTATCGTGCGCAAATATGGAAGGAATACGAGCTAGAAAACACATCTGAGGGATGTAAGCAACAACCCAGGAAGTGTGAGGAGACTAGGTTAAAAGCTAGGATTAGTGATGAAGCAAGCTGGAAAGCAGGAAGAAGTACGCATGTAATGCCAGCCTGAGCATATGCAGCCACTAAATGATTTTTTTGTTTTGTTTTATTCAAATGTAAATTGGAACAGCCAGCTAGCATAGCGTATACACCAAGATCGCAAGAGGGATTCGTGCCAACCTAAAATAATGCTCTATCTGTTGGCTCTCTAACCTTTGGAAATTTGTCCTGCATCAAGCTGCACACAAATTCTTTCTAAAAAGTTAAATTTTATAGAAGGCTGCAACCTTCAATTTTTATCACCCACTGTAGTATATTTCTCTTTGAAACTTTAATTCATCCCTATATAACTTAAAAGTACTATTGGAGTATCTCGAACACTAGTGAGCACGGATACAAACAGTGCTATAGAATCACACTTAAATCCTGTGAACTGTTAGTTTTAAACTGCCATTTTGGGGATAGATGTGGATCAGGTTACTTCACTCAAATTTGCAAGACAGCTGTCCTGGCATGGATTTATATTTAACAAGTAACAATCTCTAGCTAAAGGTTTATCTAAAAGAAAAAGCATTAGACCTTTCACATTATAAAATCTCTTAATTTGGGGTTGAAAGCAATAGTTTCCACCTCTTTCCCTCAAGTTACTTTAGTTGGCTGCACTGTTACTTGTTTGTAGAAGCAACACTGCTGGCATGTCTAGGTGCAAAACTCTGCTTCTTAGTTAAAAATCTAGACGCTACTTAGGCCAGTTATCTTTATTATTACAAAAAATAATATACCTTTTATTGTGGTGACTAAGAAGCAACTCTCATCTTGAAAGTTCTGAACCATCTAGAAAGAAAAAGGAGATATTAAAATCCCAACTTCGTACCATCTAGGAGGCCAGCAAGCCAGTTAAGCAATTTGAATGCCAAAGTGATCCATAAATATTTCTAAATGGGCACTCTATGCAACTATTTTCATAATATTTTTCTCAGTACATGTAGTTATATACAAAGTATACTAGTACAATGTACTAGATTTCCCCAAAAGGAGCTACTAAAATGTCAATATATAAGTACAACCATAATTTATTCATACTTCATTTACAACATCATTACTTAAAGGGCTCCCAGAATTATGTGGCTAGAATCTGTCTGCATAAACTGCTTAAGTAATTCGCAGCTAACAATGGTATTTAAACCTTGCTACTTACATACTATGTGTCTTCAATATGTATCTAGTCAAGAAAACAAATTGCATCTCATAATTAACTGCCTACATAGTAAATCGCATTCCCATAATCTTTCAATTCCTAAATTACTAATTGTGAGGAAGAGATAAATTAAACAAACTAAAGTGTCAGTTAACTCTTAGATGGTTTGTTTACTGTTGCAAGGTAGAGACTTCATAGTATTACAATTGATGTACATGCATCATGAAAATATTAATGTTCAAATATTATATACTACTGGGATCTTCTCTCAGATCCCTTGTGCCCTAGTCATTACTATACTGCCAGTAATGAATTTTGTACTACGATAACCACTCTCACCAGAATCTGGTTAAGCCACATTCTACTCTGAGTTTTATGGAATGTCTTTTTGACCTTTGGGAGTGAAGAAAGGAGAACCTTAATCTAATGTATTTATTTAAAATGGCTTTGGTTCCAGTCACACGGTTGCTGTGGAAAAACACAAGTTCTAACTATCAGAAGACATTAAGTATATGCTACATACTATGCAAGAGAAAAAAGCAGTGCTGCTCAGAGAAAACTGCCTAAAGAAAGTGTGGATACAAACGTGATTTAAAATAAACCACAACTCTTAACTTAAAACTTACCAACTTTAATTTGTAAACTTGTCAGTTTTGAAATCACAATTTATTTAAAAAAGCAAATGAAACAATAGAAATGTTTTTAAACAAAAAAAATTTGCTACCTGATCACTAACGAGGATGTGGATACCAGTAGGACCCTGTCTGTAAACCTGATTAATCTGATGCAAAGGAATATTAAACACCAAAGCAAGCTTGCGAGTGACTTCTGAGGCTGCCATTTCTTCTAAGTAGATTGCATGATAAACTATAAGAAAAAAAAGCTTTTTACTTTGAATAAGAATTATACTGTCATTGATAACTATTTAGATGAAAACACATGCCTGTAGGGTTGTAAAATTTACATTCCCCCACTTAAAGTCCCCCATTTTTGTTTGTTTGTTTTAGACTGTCCTTGGTCTGCAATACCTTCTTAGAAACTTGAATACCTTTTTCTACAGTGTTGTCCTTTATTTGGCAAACACTGATTCTTCCCATTCTCTATTTCATTCATGTGCATAAACGATCATGACTTTTCCTTCAATCTGATTTCTCATCAGAACGATCAATTTTCAGCACAGTTCTATGAATAGGGCTAGTTTGCATTTGTTTTGATACTGAAACAACCTTCAAAGCATCCATAGGACAGATTTTACAGTATCATGTATAAAATTACCTTTTAAAAACTGGTTTTAGTTCTGCTACAAAAATGACTGGAAAACTTTTAATCCACGACATTATCTATCATTCTATTTTTAGGGCAGATAATATATTTGGCCTGAGCTACTAGACTATAATCACTTTGCTTCATGAGTTTTCTTGCAAAGAAAGCTCTCTACAGAGTCCACCCAGATGATTTCCGCCTTAATCTCTCCCTTCCATTTTATATAACTTGATACGATAGTAAAAGTGAGACTGTACAGCAAAATAAAACATGGTCAAAGTTTCTTCTTTTCCAAACAGCAGCATAGCTGTGGGCAGCTTAATGCTTGGCTTTGAATTTTACAGATTTATACTGCTGTGGGGTCCCAGAGATGAAAATTAAAAAGCTTTATACCAATATCGCTTTAACAACTGTGATCAATATTTGGTCAGGATTTGCTGTACATGTTGCTGGGAATGCTCTAATAAATGAAAAGAGGCAGAAGTGTCTAGCAGTTACATATTTGCATATGCCCCTCCCTCTCCTTTCACAGCAATTTTGAACCTTGGATGTGTTAGCCATTATCAAATTTAATGAGAAACTACACTTATCCAAGAGGAAGTTCTAGCTTATTTAACAAAAGGACATACAATAGAACCTCAGTTACAAACACCTCGGGAATGGAAGTTGTTTGTAACTTTGAACAAAACGTTGTGGTTGTTTTTTCAAAAGTTTACAACTGAACAGTGACTTAATACAGCTTTGAAACTTTAATATGCAGAAAAAAATGCTGTTCTCCCTTTGTTTTTTTAGTAATTTACATTTAACTGTACTGTACTGTATTTGCTGCTTGGGGGAAAGGGGCGGGGGGGAGAGCTCTGCTGGGTGTCTCTGCTGCTGCCTTATTGCATACTTCTGGTTCCAAATGAGGTGTGTGGTTGATTGGGTAGTTCGTAACTCTGAGGTTCTACTGTACTCCATACAGATACTCCCTCTCTGCCCCAGTTTCCTGGCTGGAAAGCATTTAAGTGCTGGTATACGATCCTCAGTCATTCCCCAGGAAATCTGATGGGAGGGCGAGTCTCCACTCCCTCCAGAAAGTATCAGGGGATAGCCGTGTTAGTCTGTATCTACAAAAACAACAAGGAGTCTGGTGGCACCTTAAAGACTAAGGGTATGTCTACACTACAGGATTAATCCGAATTTAGATAATTCGAATTTGGGAAACAGGTTGTATAAATTCGATTGTGCGCGGCCACACTAAGCACATTAATTCGGTTTTTAACCACATTAATTCGGTGGTGTGCGGCCACACTACCCCATTACTTTAACCACAGTAATTCGGTGGTGTGCGGCCACACTAACCCTAATTCGAATTAACAAAATCGATTTAGGCACTACTCCGCTCGTTGAGGTGGAGTACAGAAATCGATTTTAAGTGCCCTTTAATTCGAATTAACTGGCTCTGTAGTGTGGACGGGTGAAGGGTTAATTCGGATTAACGCAGCTAAATCCGAATTAAAGTCGTAGTGTAGACCAGGCCAAACAGATTTATTTGGGCATAAGCTTTCGTGGGTAAAAATCTCACTTCTTTCTCCCTCCAGAAAGTTGACATAAGTGAAAGAGCAAGATAAGTTTAGCTTCAAGTAGTTCCAATGGCTCTAATAATAGGAGCAATGTGGATTTACTTGTTCTTTAATGTGATTGCTCTGTAATGTACTCAGTTACGTTCTCAGTAGTGGTGGAAATAGAGCCATTCCCTGCCAAACACACACTAGTAAGATCATATCCTTTAATACACTCCTCAGCTATTTTTCCTTATCCAAACCACACTAGCTTCATTTCAAGTATATAAAGTCCTATCAGTAAAAAGTAATTGAAATGGATATGAACATAAGTTCCTTCAATTACAGTTGTACATTCACCTAAAGTGAATTTCTTGGCAGACCACCATGGATCATGTGAATGCTCATTAACTACATTATCCATGCAACAAAAACAAAACCTTAGATTTTTTTCAAGCCACTTAAAAGCCTACTTTTTATTAAATTTTCTATTCTTGAAGGTGATATATGTTCCACCATAGAAGCACATATACCACTTCTGGCTTAAAAGTCTTAGGAGTGCACTCATCTCTGAAATGCTAAAACTGCTGTGTCACCATTAATCCACTTTCCTCTGCATATTCACTTTCTGGATACAATTTTATTGATGCTATGCTATGTGTAAAGCCACAATTCTAGCAGTTTATAAATTAGTCTAAACTATTATATTTTATTGAAAATCTATTCTCAGCTCCTCTTTTTCCTCCTCACGTGTTTATTTCAAACCTTTCATTGCTTAGTAAGTCATAAAAAGAGCACTGTATGATCATACCATATATTGCACCATTGCTGTTATCACCATTGGTTGCATCTTGCTGCCTTTCCAGTTGTATGCTCCTCAATGGCTCCTGGCAGACATAGATTGTTAAACGGGGCCTAACAGACCTGCAATTTACAAAGGATACATATAATTTTAAAAATAAACACACTTGCCCAAAAACGGTATGAATGATTTAGATCAATCTTATTTCAGTTGCCTTGCATTAACAATATACTTAAAATTTTGCTGCTTTACAAGCTATTTAAAAAAAAAAAAAAAACCACACACACACACCTCATACAAATTATCACCAGTGGCTTAATCTAATGATCTAGTCTCAGAACCATTGAGATGGTCTGCCAGATGCTGGTAAAATTTAAATTTAAAAATTAATTCAACAATTTTAAAATCACTGACACAAGACTTGCTTACAATGGAATCCTGGAACACAGCTACTGAATAGCAATAATTACATCTCTTATAAAGACAGTATGTTACTAAATATGTATTATCAGTTTCATTTGTAATTAGAATTCTGTATTTATTATTTAGCAGCCATGACCTCAAAAAATTTAGGTTCTTTATAGCTCACCTAAATGAGAAGTTTTGTCTCTTGGCAACAAACCCATCCGTCTTCAAGAAATCAGTACTGCCCAACTGCATTGCTACCAGTCTTACAGTCTACCTTTGAACTCATCAGTGCCTGCATCATATCTGTAGCCTGCCCTGAAGGTGTACACAAAACAGTCTTCTTTTGAGCACATTACTGCCAACTCCTGAGACAGCTAAACAGGCATATGCCAACCTAATTCTCAATTCATATCTCCCAAATCCCCTATTCTAAGAAAGGCACATTACTGTGATTGAACAAAAACACTTAAATGTAAACTTGGCATTTTACCTGGATTTCAGTGCATTATATAGCCGAATGCCATCGGCCGGACCACAGATTTGTACCAGGTCCTCTCTTGTCAGCTTTAATAAATCAGCACCTGGAGAAATTCAGAAGAGCAGGATTTAGCTAGTTTCTTTTAGGACAAGGAAGTTCAAAAGAATCCAATATTCATTAAAAACAAGTTACAAAATTGGCCCTTGAAAAACAATGCAACTCTGCAAGATAAACACCGACAGCAAACAAAGACTAAAAGATTATTTTGATAACGCTCCTGCAAAACACACAAGTACTTGCTAACACTAAGAAATAATTACCTGATTTAAAGAGAAAGTAGCACCCCTACCTCCAGCTTAATTCAACACCTTTGAAAATCAGGTAATGTGACTGCAAAGTGTCACCTGTTTTAGTAAAAATGGTTTAAAAATATTAGACTGCTCTATAGATAAATCATAGTTTAACTGGCTTAAGACAAGATTAAGAGATTTACACCTGGGCTAATGTGTTTCAGTCAGATGCAAAATGGAGGAAAAAAATACACCCATAGAAGTGTTGGTTTATCACAGCCTGCTGATCCTTATATTACAGTATAGCTTTTGGGACACTTTATCCTAGACTGTGCGCACTGAAAATGCTCTGGTTACATTGCTGTTCCCTAGAAAGATTGTGCATATCAGAAAATTTGGATGAAAAAGAAGTTCCTCTGACACCCATCACAGTTGCTCTATGTCCATATGTTAGCTGCATCAAGAACCTCAGAGAGTAGGGCTTCAGCATATATTTACCAAGTTCTGGCAACATGTATTGCTGTGCCACAAGATCAGCTGATGTCCACTTCACCTCCAACCTTCTCTAATTTGAGTCAGTTACCAAAGCACAGTCTCACAAATGGTATCAAGAGCCACATTTACAGAGGAATAACTATTTCTACCATATGCCAACCAATAAAAAGACTACAATATTAAGTGCAGTTCTACTCTGAAAAGTGATTATGCAAAAATGGCACCTTTCTAATAGACACGTCTGCATCCTACGGTGTATTCAGTCAGTTCAGCTTACGTGACAAAATTTTTTATCCTTGTAGAGCCAACACAGCGGTAACATAACATGTTCAATTCAATTTCTTTCTTGTGCAACAGAATAGTGCATTGAATTCTGATTTTAAGGCCTGTGCCCCTCTGCAAATCTATTGAAGACAGTGAGGTTATACAGATGTCACTGAGGGCATATTCTGAAAATTCAGCTCCATCTTGGCAGAGGAACTTCAGGGTCTTGATGTGTAGTGGAGAAGATGGTGCAGAAAGGTCTGCATTTATTAGACACTGGAGATCTTTTTAGGAAAGGGAGACTATACAGAAGGAGTGGCTCCATCTTAATAAAAATGGAACCAGACGGATGGCACAAAATAAATTAGGTTTTGATTTGAGTTTTTAAACTAGGAGTTTGGGGGAAGAGGACAGGAGACGAGCAGTACAGAGACATCTTTCAAAGATATCAGTAATTATAAGGAATAGTACTATGTAGCCCATACCGGGTAGCACAAAATGCAACTGATCTAGACAAGCGACAGGAAAACCAGGGGAAACTTCAGAGAAATAATAGAATAAGGTGTTAAATAAAAACACAGACATCTGTCAAAAAAAAAAAAAAAAAAAAAAAAAAACCACCACCTTACAAATGTTTATGTACAAATGAGAAGCTTAAAAAGCAAAAGTAAGTGAACTAGAATTCCTCAGAACAAAAGATGATTCTGATATAATAGACAGAGATGTGGTGGAATGACAAAAGTTAGTAGAATACTGTAATACCTGGCTATAAACTATATAAAACAGACTGGGCCAATTAGGGAGAGTAGTTGTCTTGCATCTTAAGGATTCCATAGAGTCTAGTGAGATCATCATTCTAAGTGGAGAGGACCATGCAGCTGAATTTGTATCAATATGAATCCTAAGCTTTAAGAATGTAAATACATAAGTACAGTTATGTTATTGGCCTCATGATCAAGAAAGGAAACCTAATGCAGAATGTTGAGAGAACACAGAGGCAGCAAAGCCTAAGGAAGAAAGAAAGGAGTTCAACTATTCACATATAAACTAAATGGCACAGCGGGGCAAAGTTTAGAGAAACACTTTCTTGACATTTTAAGTGATTGCTTATTTCTAGAACGCAAGAGGAGAGGGTATTCTCAACTTATTCTGAAGTAACACACAAGAGTTAGTTCGAAAGTGTCATTAGCTGAGCTGCTAAGTAATAGTGTGATCACAATATAATTAGGGTTGAAATTCTAGGGGGATGTAAGATACCAAAAAGTGACACAGCGACAGTTTCAGAAAGACAGATTTTAATAAAACGATAAGAGTAGTCAAAAAGTCCCTAAAGACAAAACTTAAAGTAAAATCCTTAGAAGTGGCATGCATACTACCTAAGAAAACAATAGACTCAGAAGACCTGCATGCCACTGAATAAAAGGGGAACCAGGCAGCAAAGTGTAAAGCAGCGTGGTGAAATGACAAGGTTCATTAAGTTACTTGAACCAAAACCGCTATCCTTCAAAATTTGGAAATTTGACATTAGAGAAGTCAGACAGCAGCATAAATTATAGCAGGCAATAAAGAAGGGCCAAAATGGATTTCAAAGAGCAAATAGCTAAATATGTAAAAACGAACAAAAAGTTTAGTACATCAGAAGCAGAAAGAATCAGTGATGTCTGCTAGATCACTACAGACTAAAGGAACAATCATTGGGAAGGCATATACGAGTCAGAGACCACCAGAGAAAAAAAGGCACCCAGCATTAAGCCTGGGTTTATATTTCCTCTGGAATAGAAGTTTGCGCATTTGGTATTGTCTTCTGTGGACAATGAGAACAGGAGTACTTGTGGCACCTTAGAGACTAACAAATTTGTTAGTCTCTAAGGTGCCACAAGTACTCCTGTTCTTTTTGCGGATACAGACTAACACGGCTGCTACTCTGAAACCTGTGGACAATGAGGGGTTCTTAACTGATGGAATATGAGGTCTATGACATAATTCAAGTACCACTCACATTTGGCCACTGCATGCCTCCGTAAAAAGTCTCCCAGGTTGATGACAACCTCTGGGAGGTGTATAGACAATGGGATAATCCTGTAGTGATGGCACTGCTTCTAGAGCCTGATGGCTTCCTGGTACAGAGGGGATTATCACATTCCTCCCTGTTTTTATATCGTGCATAGCAGACATGTCAGGATTGGTACCATGGAATTCCAAAGAAGGACAGGAACACTATGCAGGCTAGTCTGATGCCCTCAGCTTCAAGATGGTCAAATGTAATCACAGATCCTGGACCCAGGTGTCTTGCACCTGCAGGTGGTTCATGAGGGCATCCCACCTTGTCCCTGAATTGTTTGTGATAAATGTCAGTCAGGTAGGGGACAGTCAGTTCCCTTTCTGTATGTTCACTGGATCCAGCCACATCAGCTCTTGTAGGATGTGGGACAGGACTGAGACTTTTTTGTTCACGTGGTGTCCAGACACGGCATACACAGTTGTAAGGGTGAAGATTAATTCTGGCAAGCAGTGTCACATATGTACATGGCAACATGTGGCCTAAGAGCTCCAGACATGCACACACCATCATAACTGGGTTTGACTACAGGTAGTTTACTATCAACTGGAGACACTGGACTCTGCTCTATGGCAGGTAGACTGGCTGATAGGGAGTTGATCACACAGCTCCTATAAACTCTCTCGTCTGAGATGTTGTTAGGGATTATTTCTCATTGCTCATGTGGAGTTCTAGTGGGGGGGGAGTGTGTGTGTGTGGGGGGGAAAAACAGAGAGGAAAAACTTAATCCAAGGCTGGGATCTGTATCTGATCAGCCTGTCATCCAAGTAAGGATAGACATGGATTCCCTCTCCTCAAATGTGCTCCTACTACTTCCTGGCACTTAATACTCTAGGTGCCATGAAAAGGCTGAAAGGCCATGGTGTCTGTATTTGTTGAGTCTCCTCAGGTCTAAGATAAGAAGGGGGAGGTCTTCATCCTCTTTGGAATTAGGAAATACTGAGAGTAGAAGCCTCTTCCCTTGCATTTCTTTGGAACTTCCTCTATGGTTTCTAAAAGCAAGGTGGCCACCTCTGATTGCATGAAAGGGGCAGGGGTGAAGAGTGGAAGTAGATGGGGTAGCCATGGAAAGGATCTCTAACACCCATCTGTCCGATATAATGGCAGACTATGCCCAGTGGAACAGGCAAGGTGGCTTTGGAAGGTAATGCTCATTTGACCAGCTCTGATGTGGTTCCCAACTATGCAATCAAATTTGCTGGCATGTGGCATGTCATAGGAGCGGTGTGCATTGCCGAAGAGGAAGAAGATTGGCGCCCTATCATACCATGGTATTTTCTATGCCTGATATTCAGGATGCTTGTGCTGGTATGCGGGCATCCAAGGCCTCATCTGCAGGTGAGGACCGTATGGCTTGTGATATGGTGCTGGGGTGTGATTCCCTGGGGAATTTAAGGTGGCCTTTGAGTCTTAATGAGTACAGAGCACAAAGGTTAAGTCTTCAATTGTGACCTTTACCTCTCTTGGGATACCCAATACTTGGAGCCACAAAGTTCTGCACATCACCACAGATCTCATCACAGTGCTGGAGATGTTAATTGTGACTTGGTGTGTCATCCAGGCTACCAGTTGACACAACTTCAACCCTTGATTATGTTTCTTACCACCTCTCTGGCATCTTGTGGAGCACTGCAAGTAAGGGGGGGGGGGGGGGGGGGCCTTGTCCTAGGTTAAGAAGTTCTGTTAGGCCAGTAAGACCTGACAGTTGGCTGCATGCAATTGTAGAGAGAGGCAGAAAAGTGTGACTTTCTCCCAAAGAGGTCAAGCCTTTTCAAGACCATGTCAGAGTCAGACTTTAAGGTCAGAAGGGACCATTATGATCGTCTAGTCTGACCTCCTGCACAACGCAGGCCGCAAAATCTCACCCACCCATGTCTTTGATGGTACTCTTGGTCAACTTAGATTTCTCCTGTACCACGAACACAACTAAGGAGCCTAGGTTGGGTGAATACAGAAATACTCAAACCTTGTTAAAAGGTATTTGGTACCTCTTCTCAACCCATTTCATGGTGGGCATTATTGTGGCTGGCACCTGCCACAGGGCCTAGTTGGGTCAAGCAGTCCCTTCTTTCTCAGAATGGTAATATTATCCAGGCCAAGAACTGATAGGATGTCATATAATTTGGTATTTCTCTTCTACCACTGCTGTCTCTACCTCCATACTTCCAGTAACCTGCAGAGGGAGTTCCTGGAATATTTTAAAGTCATCAGGCATTGGTACCAATGCCAAGGATATTGCCTTTTCAGGAGATGAAGCTAAGAGGTTCCTTAAGTGGCAATATGGGGTGCTGGTGTTGCTCTACCCTAGGATCTGGTTCCTCCCAATATTCCAGCATACATGGTCTGGCCAGAGATGCTGAAAGGGAGCGTGACCTCTTTCTCTATTACAGTGAAGACCGGTTCCCCAATGCCTGAGATGGTGGCATTATTGTTGACTCTTGCCAGTCTTGCAGTGGTGGCTGATCCCTGTAGGGGATTCTGGCAAGACGCTGCATGGTACTGACTCTCCAAACCTCTCAGCTTGAAGATGGGAAGAATGTATGCCCAAGTCATAGTGAGGAGGAGACAACTCCTCTAGGAGCAACAACGACTTACATGGCACTCTCAGTACCACGGTTTGTACCAGTACCAGCAACTCCTTTGGCATTGGTGGTTTTTCCAAGTCTACCTTGAGCTTATTCACCATGGTCGGTGTTGATGCTGAGGGAGTAGGTCCTGGAGCCAGGGTCAGTGCTGGTGTGGTCTTGGGTGCCACAAGCTTCTCCATTTCCCTAGCCCTCAATGCTATGCAAGGCCTGGTGGATTTCTCTGCAGAGGCTTTGCATTACCTGTCTTTATGGGAGGACACCGAAAGTTCTGTCTGGAGTCTCTACCACTATGCTTTAAGCAACCTGTTGGTGCTGGACTTTGACAGTTGGTGGTCCCTGTTTTGATGCTGATGATATCTGCTTTGGTGCCATGGCAACTGTGCCCTGTTTCTTTCTTGGTGCTGTTTTGCCCACACTGGTATCTTGTCTGCTGTGGAGGGTGCTGAATGAGCCTGGCTTGTCCTCTAGCAAGATTTTGGAGCTTGTCTCCTCAGGCCCTAAGACAGACCTTTATGGATTGTTCTGGAAAGTGGAGTTTGACCCTTGTGTCTTATGACTTAACATATCCTAGCAGGAAATGTCAGGCACATTGAACATCTGCTTGGTACGTGTGATTCTCCAAGGCAGAAGAGGCACCTACTGCATCCATCTTTTAGGGGGACTAGTCCAGTGCAGCATGAACAGGGCTTGAAGCCTACAGGTTTCAAGTCTGTCATGTTAAGGAGCAATTTTAAAGGGACGGGGGTTTAACCTCCAATACCCTGTCCAGTCAAGTGAATAGGATCCCAGCAGTTGAAGAGGAAGGTAATCAAAGGAGTTCTGAAGAAGTTCACAAGATTTGAAGAAGGTTGAGCCAAATCTATGGTCAGAAATTCGCCACGTTCCATTGTGCTGCCACAGGTGGTAAGAACGGACTGGCCATTCCGCTCTTTATGTCCTCACACGGAGCACTGAACTAGACAGACCACGAGTCTAATCCAGTGTGTCGATTCATTTTCTTCCTAAATAAGGAGTGAATTAGCATTTGAGTCTGTGAACCATCATTACTGGTAGTGATGCAGAAGAAAGAAAGAAAACCCAGTTTCACTTTCAGGTGTCAGGTTGAGTTTGTAGAGCTGGCAGTTAAAGGCAGCTTTTTCCCTGTAAACTGAACGTTTGGCCTAGAAATCAGAAAGACACTAAATATTCAACCCCATGATGCTATTTTTACAGAGTAATTTTTCAGAGAAGACACTCACTCAAAACTTGAGGGAAAACTCTAAATAGACATTAAAAAAAAAATACCTGAGAAATTTGAAAAAAGCCTTGTATAGGTAGAGAACCTATGTTTGAGTAACCACTGCTGAGTTTCCTGGATTGTGGCTGAAGGCTGAAGTTGCTGTGAGAAACAGGGTTGAAGAAGACAATTTTGACGTTAAATTGTTTTTATAAAACAAATAAAAGTCAACTAATTTTGTTACATTATTAAAAACAATTAAGTATCTCATTTCCTTTCATCAGAACACATCAATAATGAAATCAGTATGAATCACCTCCACTTCACTGATTATTCAGCAATTAGGTACAAGGTTTGCATTGTGTAATGAAGACCAAACAGCAATATAGATACTCACATCTCCAGACCCTTGAGAAGTTCCATCTCCTTGATGATTTGGGGAGGAAGAATTGCTACGGTGGAGAGGTGGAACAAAAACAATGATATTACTGGATTTTTAAAAGTTAAGAGAATAAAACTATTCAAGCATTACTGATAAAGGTAACCTTCAATTTCCAAAATGATAAAAAAAAGTCCCTATTTTATGGCAGCAGCATGATTCCTAGGTTAAAGACCACTCAGGGAATAAACTGGTCTGGTGGAGATATGCTGTAAGAAAGAGGAATATCATCACTTAGACTGTGCAAATCACTTGGTTCCTAATCTAATCCCTGCTAGTCAACTGAAAAAGCAGCACCCATAATAAACTCACACATCCAACCATCTATCTTAAAAGGAAGAAATGAATAGTGGTCACAGGATTGAAGAGGTAAGAGAGGTGCTGTCCATCCTCTGATGCACAGGGTCAGTCACAAAAAAGGTAGAGATGCCAGGATCAGCTTTCTGAACACCCTGAAAAAAATTAGTGGTTCTCCTGAATGTTGCATTAGTGACAGTAAATTACACCAATACTTCACATTTATATAGCACCTTTCACCCCAGTTTCTTATATTTTATACATATGGCACCATTGCAGAGGCCTCTGACATGGAGGACATCAGTCAACCAGAGCAAAACATGAGATACAGTAGTAGGCTAACCTCTACTCTTACATAACATTCAGATCAGATAGTCTTTCAGATTAGACTTTAAAAACTGAACCTGATATAGATACTGGCATGGAGCTCTATTTTGAGGCTTAAACTAAAGGATGTGCCAACCATACCAAAATGTGAAACACATTTCTACAAGACAAATGAAATATTTAAAACCTGATATTTAGATTACTAAGAAATCCTTTCCAGCAGAGCCTATAAGTTTCAGAGCTACTGTGTGTACTTTAAGCTTTTCTCTGCAGAAAACACTTCTGTCAAACATTCTTCTCCCCCCCCAACACCCCCATTAGGCCAGGTCTGAAGGGTAAAATCTGTAATCTGCCACTGTCACGGCATCTCCTTCCCAAACACCATCATAAACAAAGAGATGCATATTAATATTTTCTGTAAGTGCTTCAACTACAGCACCTACTGCCAGTAAGCCACCACACTTGAAGATGAAAAAGTAGAAAGACAAAAGAAAGGCGGGGAGAAAAAGACAACACTCTTGATCATAAATCTTCCCCTAGGTCCCTCATCTTTAGTTGTGCTATCTCACCTGACTCTCACCCCCCCCCCCTTAAATGAAGGAAGGAAGATAAGTAATTGATTTAGCAGCTATTACTGGTATTTCACTGTGAATTTCATAGATTAGATTTACTGTAGTATCCCCCTTCCCTTACAGGAATAAAGCTATAGTGGTACACGCACTTATACCAATATTACTGTCCACACGAGGGGGGTTGTACTGCTGTAACTTCGCTGATACAGTTTAAGTAATCCGACTTTTGTGTAGATAAGGCCTTAGTAAGTACCCCAGTTAAAAGGAAAAGAACTTGCTATGAATTGTGCTACGGTCAATAAGTTAAGTTTCCAGCAATGGATACTGAGCAGGGAAAATATGATTCCTGGGGCTGGAGGAATAATTTTACAATTGAAAAAAATAATGCCAAAAGTTTCAGAGTTCTGAAAAATGTTGGCCAAAGTTCTACATTTCCCCCCACTCAACTTAATTTTGGGGATTGGTAGTCAAGCTTTCATATTTATACATAATCTACATTCAAATTAAAGGAAAATGCTTTAAGCATAAGATTAATTTTTTAAAAATACTTCAAATTAAACTACAGAAAAGAAACTTACCTGTCTGGGACACTGTAGGTACTATGTTGAGCAGAGGTAAAAGTTGGTGTTGGGGTAGGGCTATTGTTTACAAATGCCGTAGGAGTATCAGGCCATGGTGAGCACTGAAGAGAGAGAAAAGAATTAAACAATAAGTTTATCGTAAAATCTTGTCACTTTGGCATGTAGTCCTACACTGAAAAGCCCTGAGTTCACTCTTGTTGAATTTTAATCTGAGTTTTCAAATTAAGTTTCCGCCACCCCACTTGTTCCATGCATGTATCTGATCCTGACCAGGAATTTTAACTAAACCAAAGCTGTTTTACTTATTTTTTTCTGTTCCACAAAGGAGATTCCTATTTATTATTAACTTGATTATTGCTTTCTAATGACACAATGAAGGTGGTGGGGATGGAGCTGATGGAAGGACTGCAGAGATTATTAAGTTAATAATAAAAAAAAAAAAAAGGACATCTGAAATCCGCACAAATCAACCCCAATAGGCAGCAAATGGCCACAAGAAGGTTCAGAGATAATGAGTATAAGCAAAGCTGAGAAACCACATTTCAGTACTCAGTCCATAAGCTTAAAAGGTGCCTACCCTGACAGTGCTCACATCAGCTGTTACTCTGAGATGTCTAGCAGTATTTCTTTTTCAAACGTTCATTCTTTGGACTGAAATTTAAGAGTTATTTCGTAGAAGACTAAATTGATGCCCACTTGCAGTTTTGCTTTCTCTTTCATGCTAAGCTGGGAGTTTTATTCATGAAGTAGTAATTCATCACAAGCATTTACTGATAAACCCACTATCAAGTTAGGTCAATTTTTTTAAAATCTACCAGCCAGGATAAAGGCCCTTTAAAATGACACTGGTGTTTAGTGCTCCAAATGCTTTATTATAATCTATTAAAAATAAAATTAATTTTTAAAAAAGATTTAGCTTTTAATAAGGAAAAGTGCAAGGACACATGGATAAACTGTAAAACAAGCAGCCAAACAAAGATTAAATGAACTGAAGGCCAAGACCATGCTAGACATGCCAACACAGGTTTCTGATACACTCTTCACGATTGTCCGTTAACCCAAATATAAGCGAAAGTTTCTTTAAGGCAGTTTTTAAAGCTATTTCTTGTCCCTGAAAAGCAAGAGCTAAACAGTAAGTCCCAGAATTTAACAGGTGCCTACACTTCAAACATGGAAGATTCAGTGAACTTGAAATCCCTCGTATGTTTGAGTACTGAAAGGCCCTTTTTATCGCCAATAACATGAGAAAAATCTTATGCTGCCTGCACGTTTTTTTGACATGCTTATTAATCTTTTTGTGCTGGAAGTCCGTCTTTCACTTGCCAGCAATGAGTACACCAAAAATCCTAAAACTCGTTGATGTTCCTAGAGACACTGCTTGGGGCCTCAAAAGCTGGAAAACTTGGAAATCACATATACAGTGGACTCACTCTAGAGGGGGATTTGTGATCTTATAACTTTTATTAATACAAAGAATGTCACATTGTTACCATGTACAGATATAGCCGACACTGGCATACTAGACTGCGACGTCACTCCTACTAAACTTGATGGTTCACGGTTACCTGGTACTCCCCCACCCATTCTGTCATATCTACCTGACGTCTCTCATCATAAACTAAGACTCTAAGCTCTCAGGGACAAGGACTCTATTATGTGTGTACACAGCACCTAACACAATGAGGCTTTGATCCCTAATTGTGAGCTTTAGGCACGACCACAATACAAATAATAAACTAACGAGCCATCTATTTCTCTAGCACTAAGCAGAAAGTTTAGAGGGTGGAAGATTTCTGACATCCCTAAAACATGACATGGCCAGGATACTACCTCCTGTCTGTGCTCTAGTGAGGCAATTTTCTGTATGTACTTACCACTAGGACATTGTGTTTTGAGCTGTTTTGATTTTAATACAACTTATAGTAGATTTCTTTAGTTAAAGCTGCCAAAGGTTTTTTAATTTTAACTTTTTAGCATTTACACCAAATCAGAATAACCTGAGACTCTGGAGTTCTGGAAGTAACATTGCACAGTGGGCTTTTGACTAGCCTTAAGGAGAAATAAAAAAAACATTCAGTTCAGTTGGGACAGTGGGGTAATTTCCTTTGGGGATTGAGAATTTGAGAATCTTCAAAGTCCAAGAGACTTCACTATAAACAAGACAAGAATTACATCTGTCTTACTCTTTGGCTGCTTTCCTGAAGTGTTACTGTTCAAAAAACTTGAATTTTCTGATACCATAATTTGTGATAAAATACTATGCGATAGGGCCCTACCAAATTCATGGTCCATTTTAGTCAATTTCACGGCCATAGGATTTTTAAAACCTTAAATTTCATGATTTCAGCTATTTAAATCTGAAATTTCACAGTGTTGTAATTGTAGGGCTCCTGACCAAAAACGAGTTATGGGGGCGGGGGAGGGGGGTTGCAAGGTTATTGTAGGAAGGGTTGCAGTACTGCTATCCTTACTTCTGTGCTGCTGCTGATGGCGGCGCTGCCTTCAGAGCTGGGCAGCTGGAGAGCAGCAGTTGCTGGCCGGGAGCCCAGCTCTGAAGGCAGAGCTACCGCAAGTAGCAGCACAGAAGTAAGAATGGCATGATATGGTATTGCCATCCTTCTGCACTGCTGCCTGCAGAGCTTGGCCCTCCGTCAGCAGCTGCCACTCTCCAGTCACTCAGCTCTGAAGCACAGAAGTGAAGATGATATGGTATGGTATTACCACCCTTACTTTTGCGCTGCCCCATAAAATAACCTTGTGACCCCCCTGCAACTCGCTTTTGGGTCAGGACCCCCAATTTCAGAAATGCTGGTCTCCCCGGTGAAATCTGTAGAATATAGGGTGAAAGTGCACAAAACACCAGATTTCACAGTTCGTGACACATTTTCCGTGGCCGTGAATTTGGTAGGGCCGTAGCGATAATGCTTACTCGGTCCTTTTCCAGTACTCTAAACAAACATACTTGTTTTGCTTAAATTTTCAAGGTTCCCCCCACAAAATGAGGAATATTTACTAGGGCAGTCAAGCAATTAAAAAAAAATGAATCGCTCGATTAATCGCACTGTTAAATAATAGAATACCATTTATTTAAATATTTTTGGATGTTTTCTACATTTTCAAATATATTGATTTCTATTACAACACAGAATACAAAATCTACAGTGCTTACTTTATATTTTATTACAAATATTTGCACTGTAAAAATAAAAGATAGTATTTTTCAATTCACCTCATACAAGTACTGTAGTGCAATCTCTATCGTGAAAGCGCAACTTACAAATGTAGATTTTTGTGTGTTACATAATTGCACTCAAAAACAAAACAATGTAAAACTTTAGAACCTGCAGGTCCATTCAGTCCTATTTCTTGTTCAGCCAATCGCTTAGAGAAACAAGTTTGTTTACATTTACGGGAGATACCGCTGACTGCTTCTTATTTACAATGTCACCTGAAAGTAAGAACAGGCATTCGCGTGGCACTTTTGTAGCCAGCATTGCAAGGACTGTGCCAGATATGCTAAACATACATATGCCCCTTCATGCTTTGGCCACCATTCCAGAGGACATGCTTCCATACGTATGATGCTCCTTAAAAAAATTAATGTGTTAATTAAATTTGTGACTGAATTCCTTTGGGAAGAATTGTATGTCTCCTGCTCTGTTTTTCCCACATTCTGCCATATATTCCATGTTATAGGTGTCTCGGATGATGACCCAGCATGTTAGTTTTAAGAACACTTTCACAGCAGATTTGACAAAATGCAAAGAAGGTACCAATATGAGATTTCTAAGGATAGATACAGCACTCAACCCAAGGTTTAAGAATCTGAAGTGCCTTCCAAAATCTGAGAGGGACGAGGTGTGGCGCATGCTTTCAGAAGTCTTAAAAGAGCAACACTCAGATACGGAAACTACAGAACCTGAACCATCAAAAAAGAAAATCAACCTTCTGCTGGTGGCATCTGACTCAGATGATGAAAATTAACATGCGTTGGTCTGCTCTGCTTTGGATTGTTATCAAGCAGAACCCGTCATCAGCATGGACGCATGTCTTCCGGAATGGTGGTTGTAGCATGAAGGGACATATGAATTTTTAGCGCATCTGGCATGTAAATATCTTGCGACGCCGGCTACGACAGTTCCATGCTGTTTTCACTTTCAGGTGACATTGTAAACAAGAAGTGGGCAGCATTATCTCCTGCCAATTGTAACCAAACTTGTTTGTCTTAGCAATTTGCTGATGTAGGACTGAGTGGACGTGTAGGCGCTAACGTTTTACATTGCATTCAAAAATAAAGTTATTTTTTGTACATAATTCTACATTTGTAAGTTCAACTTTCATGATAAAGAGATTGCACTACAGTACCTGTATTCGGTGAATTGAAAAATACTATTTCTTGTTTATCATTTTTTACAGTGCAAATATTTGTAATCAAAAATAATATAAAGTGAGCACTGTACACTTTGCATTCTGTTGCAATAGAAATCAATATATTTGAAAATGTAGAAAAACATCCAAAAATATTTAATAAATTTCAATTAGTATTCTATTGTTTAACAGTGCGATTGAGATTAATTTTTTTTAATCTGAGTTAATTTTTTTGAGTTAATCACGTGAGCTAACTGCAATTGGCAGCCCTAATAGTTACACAATTTGCACATTAAAAGCTGTATGTTGCTCTCACTGTGCCACTTTACATTAAGCCATGCTGCCATTACTGTTCACAATATATTAAAATGATCAAGAAAATGAATATACAAGACAGCCAGTCAGAGGCAAGACAATGATATTTGTGTCCACAACTGCACAGTAAAGTGGTTGCTACTTATCAAACATCTTCTGTTTGACATCAAAATAGTAAAACAAATGAATATCCCTAATTTCAGTGTAAGGACTTTCAAAAACAACTAACATTCTCAACTTTTCAATGACCTAATATTTGTTCACCCTTACTTTCTTTTAAGCCACTGACTTCAGACCCTAAAGTCTCACATGAACTTCATTTCTCTTTAAATAGCCTTGTTTTATAGAAAGTTTATATAAGAATTGATTAAATAAAATATTACATGACAACAGCAAGATAGATGTCAGCATTGTTATATACATCTATGATGTCTTGCAGAAGAACCAGAAATACTTTCCAACAAGCCACAGTTGCTTTAATCACATCTGCAATAACTAAAACTTGTATCCATGGAACAATCCTCCATTATTCTGTCTTGTAATATGCCAGGGTAGATAAAAATCATTAAAAAAAAAAAAAGTTTTTGATAAAATACTTTGAGGGGGGAAAAAAAACCCTATCTAAAGATACATTGTAGCTCAAAGATATCACATCATGGAATAGGGATTATAAATTCTAATTCTATAGTATGAGACAATATATTCATGTAATGTTTAAGAAAAGTTTTGTAAATGAGTTCCAATAGTTCATGGATTAGGGACCTTTGGAACCACTTCCCAGAGCTGTTTTCTCCCTACTCTCAGGGCACTGAAATTCACTCTGAATTTATGCTTTGAGAAGGTACCTAAAAAGTCAAAGATTGTGGGTCCTGTGAGAAGTTCACTCCCTATCCAAAGTATCATAACTACAGCAGAGAACAAAGAAAGAATTAGAGGCCTTTTTATGACTACCCAAAATAAGATCCTTATTCTCAGGAACACAGTCACTTTTCAGATTTAGAGTGTGCTGCTTGATCAGCATGACTATTTATAGAGCCCCCATAATGGCATGTCAAAGAACATATAAAAATATAGGGTTCCTATCCCAAATAGCTTTTAGTCTAACATGACCATATACAATTAAAAATTCTGTTCATGTAATAAGTTACTTTAAACACAGAGTAAGAAAATGAGGATGTTACTCTCCCCAGAATGCTAAATCAGCCATGCTGCACATGTTGTACTTTTGGCATGTAACTTGAATATATTAAAAGATGCATTTAAGAAGAAACAAGCATAAAAGAAGTACTAGGTACATGCTATAGGGCCAAGCAAAGTTTACTATGATAACCTTAAAATTAAGTATAACCCACCCATATACTTTATACTGCATCGTTTGGCTTTGTTTCTCCAGAGGAGTGGAAGAGAATGCAGCAGTGTGGAGGAAGGAGATATGGTCACATGGAGGATCTTACTTGGATACTGAGTGTCTGCACATGTGCAGAGAGTAGGGCATGGTAACTCAAAGACCCAGAAACTTCCAGAACAGAGTGGTAGTTACCAGACATTCTCAGTTGCTGTTCTGAGGCTTTATAGGAAGTTTTCACTGTGGGCTACTCACCTAGCAGTCATATTCTAGTCACCCTCGGAGAGCTGAGCCAACCAGAGAGCAGTGGATGGGGTGGTTATAAACAGAGGTGTTAAAAGTAGCCCCATGGACTCAACAGGTGATAGTCTCATGGTTCTGTGTCAATCTGCTGTGAGGGCTGGGTCCCAATCCCTGTACCACCTTGGACACGGGCTGCAGATTTCTGTTTCCCCACAACTGAGAGCACCTGTCAGCTATTAACCCAAGGCTTAGAATGCTGCTAGCTGTGGAGGCCCACATTGTTTGCTGACAGGGTTCTAAAGTGTTTGAAAGGACTGAAATGCTGCCATTTCTCAGGCTCTGAAGAGTCCAGGTGACATACTGTGGTCACGCTACAAAGAGCAAGAAAGCACCTGTTTGAAGATCAGAGGGGAATGCGTTTTGATAGGTGCACTAATGTACAGAAAACGTTATGTTAAAACCTTGTATTTGAATGTTTGTAACAGAAATAAAAGGGGGAAGTCTGTATAAGGAACACCAGCAGATTTACTGTTTAATAGCTTTTATTTAAAAGTTATTCACAGCATTCCAAATACTATTTACCATGTTTTATGCTGTTTACAAGTGTTTTGTGTGCATTAAATGTTTGTTTTACTAAGAAAATGTATGGTACTCGCTCTCTGAAGCTGCCTGGGAACTATTAGCATCCATTTATCAAGGTTTACATAAAATAGCCCTGAAGTTTAATTGTCATGTGTTTCTGAAAAGTCCTTACAAGACAGAACTCTAGCCTGTGCTTCAGCAAAGAGTTAAGCTGAGGTGCAGTATAGTTAGACACAATATTGCATGAGCAGCCCATGTTCGCCATTACATAAACACCAAGTCAAAAACTGAAGTGTACTATGAACTGAAGTTTTTGTATTCCAATTAACTTTTGTTTAAAAGAATTAAGCTCTGTACAGTACAAGCCTTACACTTGCAAAACTTAACATTCAGCATATTATAAACTCCACATTTGCAAAGATTAGAAAGTTTGAGGAGTATGGCTCATAACAGAGCCCTTTAATCACTGAAAGCCTTCAGCCTGTAGTTCTACAGGACCTCCCTTGAGACAGAGAAGACACGAACTGCAGGATTAAAAAACAACAACAAGTCTCCTGGGCTTAAAGAGTCTTGACTACAAGGGAAGAAAGAGAGCAGTGAAGACCTAATGAAATCATTATGAAAAGGGCTAGGTCCATTTTTGCCAAATGTAAGGGAAGTTATATCTTTCTCTAGAGACTAAGCTCTGGCTTTCCAGCACTTAAGAGGGATGCAAAGTGGAGATCTCCTTCCCACAGGATGACACCTGCCTGACAACTAGCAGCAGCAACAATATGCACTTAGCAGGAGGCCACATCCAAAGAGAGATTCACTGAGCACGGGGAGAACTCCCTGGGCATTACCATACTCTAAAATACCTAATTTAGTCAGAAAGGAAAAAGAGGTTCAAAAACGTGAACACTGGAAGTCGAGCCTTGCCATCTGAAAGAGCTGCCTCCACCTAATTAGAAATGTTAACATGCTTTATAGGGAGAGACACATGTTGAGCACTGATTTCCCCCCCCCCGTATACATCTGCTGATGGACATCCTGCCCAGGAGCAGAAGAATGTCTGGGTTGACAACGGATACTGCAGAAGAAATGCAACAGCTTCAACTAAGGAACTAGGTATTCTGGGTTGCCAATATTTTACTATAAACTTTAGGTAATTCCAGACAACCCAGTGTTTACTACAGCATCAGGTAAAACAAAATTCTCCAAAGAATTCATCCCACTGTTTACAGTGCTCGATTATAGCGCCTCAGTTGTGTGGGGCATTTCATAAACAAAGAATGAACAGGTCCCTTGCCTTGAGAAATGTACAAGCTGAATTTTGAATAGCACACAAAGGGATGACAAAGTGGGGAGGGAAATACTGATGGACAAATGTCAGCTAATTGTCACCTAAGTGCTTTAGGGGAAGAGGTGTCAAGGAAATACGAACAAAACTTGCTTGTTCAGTGAATTAAGTCAAATAATTGACTGTCACAGGTGGACATTAATATATGACCAAAATACCAACAGGTAGATGCAGGATCATGACTTGCCCAAACAAATAAGTTGCTAAGATCTATCTTAGAAATAAAGATATTGGAAAATATTTATCGTTCACCATAAGTGTCAGTTTAAACACCTGGAAGGTTAAAACTTGATAGGGAAAGTGTAAAATATACATATTTGCTTCTTTTAAGCAGATAGATACAGGATTAAAGAGAGGGTCCACATGCTGTGAGAAAAAGTAGTGCTCAATAACATTAAGCCTTGCTGTATCTGACTGAAGCACAAGGAGAACAAGATGCGGAGAGCCAGAGGAAACAAAGTAATATTACTACAAACAACCTCTCTGCAACAATACACAGGGCTTTAAAAGTACAGATGTATATGGAAACTTACATTAAACGCAGGTGGAAATATGGGACAAAACATATATGCTGTAACTAAATTTTGCTATTATCTTTACTTTCACTGATTACATATATATAAAGAAAGCAAATAGCTTTTAAAAAACATCTAGCTATTTCAATAAAGGAAATGCAGGTGTAAACTGAAAGATTTTTTTTTTATTTATTTTTTATTAAAGAGTCACGCAGTCCCTCTGCAACAATTTGTCTTAAGTGTTAGATTTAGGAAGCATTCCTCACTGAAACAGAGTAATTGGTGTAAACAAGAGTGAATGAAATTAAGCCAAGGCAGTCAAAATGTTTTTATTTTTGATCATGGAAGTTTCTCCTATATCTAACACTGCACAAGGTATCTTGCACAATGAAAAGGTAAGCAGAAGTCCCTTACAGTGCCTCGCTTTGCCAGAGAATCACCGCAGTCTGCTGGCAAAGTCCGCTTGCTGGACTTTTTCTGCTCATGTTCAACTGCATCTTCAATTATAGGCTCAAGCCTCATCTGGACAAACACCAAAGATTTGGATCAATTTCTTTTCATTATACAGTGAGGAAAGATCTAAAAGCCTTTTAAAAACTTTTGCAATCTTTAGAAAACTGTATAGAACGCACTGGTGTTTAAAAGAAAAAGAAAATGCAAAAACCCAGTGAGGCTCTAGCCATAAACTCAGTCTCTAAAAACATGGTTTTGAGCTCAAATTTGACATGTATAAATAAATCCTAAACCCCAGTTTTTGTTTTTTAGCTGCAAGGTTTTTAGATCTGTACATGAGATTTGTTTTAGAATTCAGCACAAAGAGTGCTCTATCCAAGGGTATTTGAATACAATATCTACTATATAGCCAAGTGAAATTTACTCAGCAGAATCTTAAAAGGTTACTGGTGTTTTTCTTTGGGACAAGTCTGTCATATTAAAAAGCCTACCTTTGTCTATGTATGCTGTAACTCTCCCCCCATTTTGAGAATATAATTTATTTACTGCTAATATTTCATATATTGTATATAGATAATTTTTCTTCATAAATACATGCAGTTCCATCGTGTTACCTCTGAGAGGATTGTGGTGTCATACGAAGGTTGATACTTTTCTTTTTCATGTGCAGTTCGCTTCTCCATCTTTTCTCTGTCTGTTTTCTGTTTCCTGTCTGCTCCTTTTGGCTAAAAATGAATAGTTAAATGAACAAGCAGACAGAAAGCAGCTTTGCAACTGAAATATGGACCTAAAAAACAGCCATTATAATGTAAACATGTTTTCTATGTCTAAAAAATTTACTGGGGACCATTATTTACAACTATTACCTTAAAAACTTTGATTTGGCAGCTGGCTGAATGCAAATGATCTGTGTATTCTCCATTTTCAGTCTGCTTAAAAGTGTCAACCTGAATCCTAAAAGGAACTCCTTTTTCACCTCCATGTTTACGTGGGGTAAACTCAGTGCTGATGCAATGTACCTGAAAAACAAAGTGAAGCTGTATTCCATTCTGGGCATATTCTTAATACTTTTGCCACTACCATTATATAAATTTCTCTGACAGGGTAAGCAACAATTTATGGCTTATTCAGGAAATGAAACTGGAAATCCAAGGGAGGTAGGAACAAATTCCTGTATCTTTGCCAGCCGCACAGGCTTGGAAGTCAGGTTTAAACCTGTCCCTATTTACTATCAATACATCACCTATATACCCCCCAGAAAGTAATACTTTAACTCCTACATCTTTCACAACATTAAACAACTGTTGTGGATCTCATCATATGTTACTAAAAAAAATCCCTCTCAAATTCTTATACGGGATCTTAAAACAAATATAAGAGCAGAACAACTACATCAATCATGATGAATAAATTCAAAGATTTTTCCAGGTATTCGTGCACAGTGGTATAATTTAGCTAGCTTGAACATTAAGATTTTTTTAAATATAATGTCTTGAAATTTTTATCAAAACCACTTACTGGAACGATTTTTAAATCGAACTTAAGGCTGGGATTTAGGAGGCTAATGGAGGTAGGTGCCCAAGTGTCAATGAATGGCAGTGGGAATTGATACCTAACTCCCTACAGCTTTTTTGAAAATACCAGAATAAAGGCATTGAGTTTATGAGACACATGAATACCATGGCAGTAAAAAGGTACAATAAGAAGAGAGTGCTATACTAGGAAACAATACAGTTACAATGTTGTAGGGCATTAAATACTCAGTATATCACCAATGCCACCACACTGTGCATTCCCACCTTCCAAACAGTAAGAGTTGACTAAGCTTTTCTTCATGCCATTAGCACATTCTGCAAGGTTGAAAATATAACTGTACAAAAGTAAAATGGATGGCTCATTACACACTCTTTACTCCCTTGCAGCAAAGCCTGACATGGAAGCAGACATTGTAATAATTGTATAATTCTTTGACAAAGGAAGAATTATTACTGTCAGGGTACAGTAGCACAACATAATTTACTGCCAATGTGGAAACAATCTACCTGAGCTAACAGGCTAAGGAATATTGCCACTTCTCGCTTTGCACTTTTTCTTCATTCCAATACCTGATTTTTGAGACAAAATTATCCAGAAGGAAGACTATAGTATAATACAAAGGATTCTAATGAAATCTAATTCCATGGAGTAAGTCACTTAGAAAAAAACCTGCCTTGAATATAATAACAAACAATCAAGAATCTAACATCTTATCAATCAGGTAAGTAAGAGGACTAAAAATCTGCTTTGAAATTTAGTGATTTCAAATGCTCTCTCTCTTGGTAAAGCAGATTCAGTCCTATTCAGGGGCCCTATTAACTGGAACTGAAGTAATGGAACAACAACAGTTATTTACAAAAAATGCTTTAAAAATACACCTCCGTAAATATTTATCCATACAAAGATGTAAGAGCTAATCATTAATTTTCATTTAAAGCACACTCTCGTTCATTTTATTGATTGGTTTTAAAAAGCTGCTTCTGTTCTAAGCTATGTTTAAAAACCTCATATCAAGATAAAAACTCAGCTAGTGTCACCTACAGAAGAAGCAGATGCATGGATCTAAGTTTCCAAAAATGATGGATCTAATAGGATAATTTTGCTTTTTACTAGGATAATTATATAGGAAACAATCACATTCATGACCTGACAAAGACCAAATCAGTACAAATCCAGTAAAGCAAAATTTCAAACCTGAATAAAGGCAGATGTACGTTTTCCAGGATCCCACAGAAATTCAACTGCATTGAGCTGGCTTGGATTTGTCTTTATATCAATTACTCCAACAGACATTGGAATATCTACATAAAAATGAAAGTATATGCTATAGAAACACAGCAGTGAGTGGACTTGGTTTGTTTTGAATAAAACCCCATTAATCTGCAAACTCATCTACAGTGAAATGTACTGTACGTTACCACACAAGGGATGACAAAAATTGGTTGTTTAATGACAGTGGTCTTCTGATAAAGATGGAGATGTGTACTTAATTTCTGGGGAATAATGCGAGGTGATTTTATGGGTTTTACTGTAAATCTTATGAAATCTGCAATAATTAAGTTTTTACAGTATATTAGCAATACAGATGTTTCTCTCATGTTCCCGATTACCAGCACAGATTTTGCTCTGAAGGAACAAAAGGGGTATTAACTGAATTATTTAGTGTTGCTGTTTTCTGTAATGTTAGATGCCATTAGAGGTTTTCATGGAAAATTCACAATGTAACATTATTGAAAACATTTATATAAATCTCAAGTATCCTAACACAACAAGTAGCATACAAACATTGGTATGTATGCTTTTGCTATCCCCGCTGTTGATATATAAATTGATGCTCTTCATATCAAGACAGTCTCTTATTTTAACCCTAGATAATAAGGGAACTGATAGAAGTACCTAAGTCAAGAAGTCTGTCCCCAGGGCGATTCCACTTCCAACCTTCCAGTTGCTGGTGCTCTGTGTATTGCAACCTTCTGTCATGGAACACAACTCTTATGATACTCTAGTCAGAGGAAGAAATAGTTAAAAATTAGCCTTGGAATCAGTATACATTAAAGAGGAGATTGATGCATTAAAAATATTCTGAAATACGTACTGGTGATAAATACACACACTTTTAGAACAAAAAATCAATGGAAAGCACTTAATCCAACTTTATTTAGTATAATGTCCCAGAATACTTTAGACTAAGTAATACAGAAACAAAGGTGAAAAGAAGGGGCAAGAAACAGAATATGGTTCAGATGCAATATGAAGTGAAATGGAGAACTGGGGCAGACACCGCCCGTAAAGGCTGTTGCAGATTAGGTGAACTGGAGAGGATAAGGCTCTCACACACAGCACAGTGGCCAAATTACATGGATACAGTGAGGCTAGCATTAGGAAAATCAGAGAACAGGTCAACCGGAAAGGTTATAACTTCAGTTTCACACACTGAATAGCACTGATGTATGGTTTGAACCAAATTTATAGAAGAATTTGCTGGAAAAAATCAGAAATAAAGGTAACATTCTGCAGTAATCCACAAAATAAAATATTTAAACTTGAATGAGTCACCTAAAAATCTGCAAAAAAAGGGTTTTGTACAATTTCTAAACAGGAGTGCATTAATTGAAATATTTAAAGTATAATTGTGACTCCAACAGTTCAGAAAATTAATAAATGGATAAATCGATGTGTTTGTGTAAAAAAGATGTATTACTAGATAAACATTAAGATCTTACACTACACAAGGAGGACTTCAATTTATAGTTAGCATGGACAGAAACTGCCAATTCTAGAACTATTTCCACTCTTCTAGATACAATATTCATCTAAAATATTATAAAATCTAGACAATTTATTAAGAAGTTAAAAATAGGTTTCAAATACTATGCATGCCCCAGAGTAGCCCCGCAAAATTCTGTGGTTTTACAACCACACCTCTCTCTCGCTCTAAAAATACAAGTCTCTCTCTGCCTGGTTGTGTGAATGTGCACAGGAACAGGGAAAGTTACTATACAGAGAAACTGGCGGTTCACAAAGGGCTGCCAAATGCCCACTAAATGCCCAAAACACTCAAATATGGTGTTCTGGCTTTATTCATATCCTTGCCATTAAACTATTGTAGCTTTTAACATGAAAAACAAGTTGAAAAAACAAAAGGATTAACATTACTTCTCAATTGAAATTGTTAAGCCTGTTGGGAACCTGAAATATCTGTATCTGTTTACAGCAATGCAAAATATCCCACTATAGAAAATACTTCACAACCAACAAGCATTTCAATATCCAAACTGAAAACATTTCAAATACCTAACTAAAGCAGTAAATGCAAGTCAAATAACTATTGAAAAGTAACCCTGATCTCAAATACTCACCCAAAGGTTAGTCATAAGTGTATTCAACCAGTAAAAACAATAAATACTTTTCAAATTGGTCTCAATAACAGTGGGTTCCCATCAGATACACTGAAATGTTACTTAAAGCCCCCAAAGGAAAAGGTGGCAGAAATCTGCAACGTTTGTCACAACAGCAAAGCAGCAACACAGATGACTACAGTGTTTCAGTTCCAGGGTCCATAAATCCAGCAATGTGATGCTCACATCTAGCACTCATTGATGGAATTATCACAGAATAAGTTCCCTGTCTGAAGAGCAAACAGCAGGACTATACTTGCCAGCAAAGTTCTCAAATGGAGAGTCGGCATTGGTGGGCAAAAAAATTAACTATCTTGATAATTCCCTCTCATTCAGAGAGGTAACAACAATAGGGTATGTATTAATTTCTTCAACCTGTCCTTCTGGCTATTAGAAAAAAAGTTAAACAAGTAATTCATGTCAAGTATCAGAGCGGTAGCCGTGTTAGTTTGAATCTGTAAAAAGCAACAGAGGGTCCTGTGGCACCTTTAAGACTAACAGAAGTATTGGGAGCATAAGCTTTCGTGGGTAAGAACCTCACTTCTTCAGATGCAAGACATCTGAAGAAGTGAGGTTCTTACCCACG